TAAAGGATAGAATTGTTTAACATTTAAAATCACAGGGATTTTAAGATCAGAGACAACATGGGTTTACGGTTTACTTCAGGGAGATCATGCCAAACTAATCTTATTGATTTTTTTGATTGGGTAACTAAAATAATAGATCAGGGTGTTGCCGTAGACGTTGCTTACCTAGAATTCAGTAAGGTTTTTGACCTTATCGCACATAGAAGACTTATCAATAAACTGCAATCTTTAAGTTTGGATTCCAGTATTGATAAATGGGTTAGGCAGTGGCTGAGTGACAGGCAACAGAGGGTTGTAGTCAATGGAGTATATTTGAAGCAAGGTCTTGTTACCAGCGGTGTAACTCAGGGATCTGTACTTGGACCCATTCTCTTTAATATTTTTATTAGTGATATAGCAGAAGGTCTTGATGGTAAGGTATGTCTTTTTGCTGATAATACAAAAATATGTAACAGGGTTGATGTTCCAGGAGGGATAAGCCAAATGGCAAATGATTTAGGTAAACTAGAAAAATGGTCAGAGCTATGGCAACTGACATTTAATGTGGATAAGTGCAAGAAAATGCATCTTGAACATAAAAACCCAAGGGCAGAGTACAGAATTTTTAATAGAGTCCTAACCTCAACATTTGAGGAAAGTAATTTAGGGGTAATAATTTTAGATGACTTAATAGTAGGCAGACAGTGTAATAGAGTAGCAGGGAATGCAAGCAGAATGTTTAGTTGTATGAGGAGAGGTATTATCAGTAGAAAGAGGTAAGTGCTCATGCCATTGTACAGAACACTGGTGAGACCTCACTTGGAGTATTGTACGCAGTACTGGAGACCATATCTATTAATACTTTGGAGAAAGTTCAGAGAATGGCTACTAAACTGGTTCATGGATTACAGGATAAAACTTACAAGGAAAGGTTAAAGATCTTAACATGTATAGTTTGGAGGAAAGATGAGGCAGTGGAGATATGATAGAAACATTTAAATACATAAAATGAATCAACACAGTAAAGCAGGAGACTATTTAAATGAAGAAAAACTACTACAACAAGAGGACATAATTTTAAATTAGAGGGGCAAAGGTTTAAAAATATCAGGAAATATTACTTTACTGAGAGGGTAGTGGATGCATGGAAGGTGGGAGAGGTTAACACAGTGAAGGAGTTTAAGCATGCGATAAGGCCAGGGACTAATGGAAGTTTTTAGAAAATCGGGCAGACTAGATAGGCCGAATAAGTCTTATTTGCCGTCACATTCTATGTTTCTAAGTCTTGCAAACATGCAGATTTTAAATGGGGGGGGTGGGGGTGGGGATTTATCTACTAAATTGTTAATTTCTTATTATGGATTATTCCTTCAAATTTTAAAAGGTTTGGAATATGAGTAATGCAATTCTACAATAAAATAATGAATGTGGAAAGGAAGACAAACAGAAATACCTACACACACAGTGACCAACTGCTAGAAACAAAGACACAGATACACAGAATCATCTTTTCTACAAATTATATTTAGTCACTCTGCCTAGTTGTGTGATGGAGAATAAAGGAAGTGTAAACATTAGATAACTCTTTACAGGAAGTGTTTAGGAAGGCTGTGTAAGTCACATGCAGGGAGGTTTGACTAGGGCTGTATAAATACCTAAATGGCAGGGAATTGAGCAGTGAGACTGCAGGGCATGAGCTATACACAAAAACTACATTAATAAGCTACAGTTGTTTTGGTGACTAAAGTGTCCCTTTAAAGGATGGATATAAGGGCTTAGTTGATACAGAACAAGACAGATGTAAGAATATCCAATGCTGGGGAAATGATAGTGGACAAGGTAGGGAAGATGCTGCCCATTGGCAAGCTGGCATAGCTTCTATATGTTAACGCAGGCACCAACCTGGAACCAGCAAATGTACCGTAATTATCACATTCAACACCAACAAATAAGAACAAAATGACATTTTCTTTAATAAACAAATCTTATGTCCGGCCCCCATAGAACATCATATGGAGCAACTAGAGACAATGCATCAGTCAACAACACCATATTTAGCAATAACCCCTGATGATGGCCTGATGGGGCAGGGGAATATAAGTTTTAATTACCTGTAATTGTCCCTCTAGGCTGCTGCCATCTTCATCTGGTCACTCCTCTTCGGCTCCCGGCACTTCATCTGCCAGGAGCCTACGTCAGTGTTGTGGTCTTGTGCATGTGCAAGAATATAACAGTGAGGTCTATGGAGGATCTTGCAAAAAGCTATTTTAACTATTTATCATACAGACTCCTCCTACTGCGCCCAAATCTTTATCCTCCACAATTTATCAATAAGCTGAGCTATCCAGGAAATTATTTATGCGTCATTGTAATTATACTGTCTTAATGGTGCCAAATGCCACATCTCTCACTGAATACTGAATCTATTGAGATATCTAAAACAGGTGTTGGGAATTTTAACAGGGTATTGAGACTATGATTCACATTTGGTGAAAATTATCACGAATGATAGCATTTTGGAACAATGGACAGCATAAAATGGAGGAGATTAGGGTTATGGAGACAATCATAGTGTCGTTTTATAATAGATCGAAGGCTTTCCATAACACTTGGCTCTCTTGACTTGATTTCGTCTCCAAATTGGGTATGGACTAAACGCAGGGGGATCCTATATTTGTCCTAGCCCATATTTTTTATCGAGCTTGTCCTTGCATTGGCCCTTTTTACTTCTGTAAAAAAAACTATAGTATCCCTTTAAAAAACATCCAGACCTTTATAAAGTATGTGAGAACAATCACTCTAGTTATAGAATTACATTTCTTTACTGTTCATAATATAAATAGTTTTTGCTGTAGAAGAACCCATTTTCCTCAAGTCTCAGCAGATGATCTCATCTTTTTTTTAGAAACGGTTTGTATTGGGCATATATACATTTATGATTGTATAATATTCCCTCTAAGATGCCTTTTTTGTTCTTATCAAGTACAATCTTTCTAGTCTTTGATTATTACAAATATCTTCCATTCCCCTCATATCTGCACAGTTCTATACTGGCATTATTAATAACAAATTTAAAAATTACAGGCGGGTGTTAGTTCTGAAATTTATATTTTATCAGGTGTAAAAATATCCACTTACAATTTGCTGACTTTTGTAGCAGCTAACTTAGTAACTTGATAATTACAGTGTTAATCGTTAAAGTAAGAATTGCAGCTAATTTAAAGTAGATGCAAAGCAAGTTTAAAAATGTAAGCAAACATAGTCAAATTAGCCAAACCTGACTAGGAGATTTTTTATTTTGGCACATTCCAAGCACCAAAACAACTTTAGCTTAGTGAAGTGTTTTTGGTGTACTCACTCAGTTCTCGGTCATTGAGGAGTTAAATCACTGGGTTCATTCAGTCCTAGCCACACCTCCCTTGGCTGAGACTCATACATCCTCCCTACACTTCCTGTAATGAAAGATCTAATTTTATAATTAATTTATTACATTGCTTGTTTATTTTACCCTGGGCCCTTAATAAAAAACAAAACAAACAAAACTTTATATTTCTCACCAGATTTATGCATTATATATCACATGTATATAAAACAAACATAATTGCAAATAGTTCATGTTACAGCTTTATTCAAATTAAATAATGTACAAAAATATGTGAAATTTCAAAGACGCAAACTAAAAAAAATCCATTGAATATATAAACAAGGGAAAAAAAAATAAGTTCCATCTATGGGTAAATCTTATTATACCAAAATACTATAAATAAATCTCTTGTGGCATGAGGGAAAACATTTTAAGTTATCTACATATTATGTTACATTACTTGGAGTTCATTCAAGTAAGTCCACAGCTTTCATTTGATGAGACACTCCACCCAGCATACAGTACATATGTACAATGTTATTGGTTACTTAAGGGGACTGTAGTCACTGTACTTGCTTTATTTCATTTAAGTGGTTTTCCATTCAGCATTAGACTGTCTTTAATGTTTTAGTGCTAAACAAGAGTCCCCAGCAATGGGTGACCAATGGCTGGAGAATGTTAGGTGACCAATTTCAGCCTATCACAGCACCCATTGTTGGTATGGACTGGTATGGCTAGAAGGAAGACTGTAATCTGGGGCTGGGCTGTTGGTAGCCAGGGACCCTCATTCAGTATTATAAGTCTGGAAAATGGTTAACATTGAATAGATGGACAGTACCATGGACTGAAGGCATTATAACCAATTCAATGAGATGAAATAGTTTTATAGCATCTACGTTGTCCATTTATAATTTGACAAGAAAGTGAGGGCATCAAAACTTTTGAAATTGCAAGATGATCAGTCATGCAACATAATTATCAACAGATTTTGGATGCGGAAGTGTTGTTATACTAAATGTTATACTGAATGTTAAAGGGACACTAAGCACCAAAACAACATCAGCTTATGAAAGAAGTGTTGGTGTGCAGATCATGCCCCTGCAGTCTCACTGCTCAATTCTCAGAAATTTAGGAGTTCAATCACTTTGTTTATGCAGCCCAAGTCATTCCTTCCCTGGCTGTGACTCTCAGTCTCCCTACACATTCCTGAAAAAGAGCTTCTTTTTTTTCAGCTTCCCTTATTGCACAATGTATTTAAATTATAATGTCTCATGTCCTGTCAAACGCCTGCTAGAGCTTGTGAAAGCTACCTTGATGCAATTAAAGTTCTAAAAATGAAAACCTTTTCCATGTTGGCTGTGTGACTCTCAGCCAGAGTAGGTGTGGCTAAGACTGCATTACCAAAGTGATTTAACCCCTAAATAGCAGAGAGTTGAGCAGTGAGTCTGCTCGGGTATAATCTATAGATCAAAACTGCTCTATTAAACTAAAGTTGTTTTGGTGCTTAGAATGTCCCTTCAAGTCACAAAATGGCAACTCTGAATCAAAGTTGCAGTAATACTTGACAAAGTCAAAATATACAATAGACAAAGATCATTTTACTTAAATCCTTTTCATCCCTATGTATATTTTAACAGAGAATATATTGATTTACATATTAATGAGCATCACATGTTCCAAACAGATAATCTTCAAAAGCTGCCATAACATCATGCTGAAGATATAGATCAAATTCACCGATCATCTGATAAAGAAAAAGGAACAATTTTACAGTGTGTATATAATAAAAGCAACTCTGTCATCAAAAATAAACTATAGCTAAAGTGCTTCAATATGGCTTCCTGTGTCTGAACCTTTTTTTTTTTCCCTGAGTGCTCTATTTAAAAAAAAAAAAAAAAAAAATACATACATACAGAAATTTAGGAATTACTTTCACCTAATCATAGCCGTAAAGTTGGCAAAATGTTGCAACGGGCAGAGCTTAAGCAAAGTTATGTTTCAGTTACCAATTCAATCTACTAACAATCCATTAGTAAAATGAATCCCACAGAAGGGTAAACTGCAGACATCAAGGTGAACAAAACATCTGCACCCAGATATTGTGATAAAATTAATAATAACTATAAATGAAGGCAACTGGCAAGGAGAAATTATAATCATAAGGGGGCTACTGATTGTTTTAGAGCATCAGCTGACTGCTCTAGACGAGCATAGGAGCCCCTGCACACTGGCACTCCGCGCTTCCTGAAAGTCAATTTCAGAAGCCAGGAAACATAGAAACATAGAATGTGACGGCAGATAAGAACCATTCAGCCCATCTAGTCTGCCCAATTTTCTAAATACTTTCATTAGTCCTTAGTCTTATCTTATAGTTAGGATAGCCTTATGCCTATTCCACGCATGCTTAAACTCCTTTACTGTGTTAACCTCTACCACTTCAGTTGGAAGGCTATTCCATGCATCCACTACCCTCTCAGTAAAGTAATACTTCCTGATATTATTTTTAAACCTTTGTCCCTCTAATTTAAGACTATGTCCTCTTGTTGTGGTAGTTTTTCTTCTTTTAAATATAGTCTCCTCCTTTACTGTGTTGATTCCCTTTATATATTTAAATGTTTCTATCATATCCCCCCTGTCTCGTCTTTCCTCCAAACTATACATGTTAAGATCCTTTAACCTTTCCTGGTAAGTTTTATCCCCCAATCCATGAACCAGTTTAGTAGCCCTTCTCTGAACTCTCTCTAAGGTATCAATATCCTTCTGAAGATACGGTCTCCAGTACTGTGTACAATACACCAAGTGAGGTCTCACCAGTGTTCTGTACAATGGCATGAGCACTTCCCTCTTTCTACTGCTAATACCTCTCCCTATACAACCAAGCATTCTGCTAGCATTTCCTGCTGCTCTATTACATTGTCTGCCTACCTTTAAGTAATCAGAAATAATCACCCCTAAATCCCTTTCCTCATATGTTGAGGTTAGGACTCTATCAAATATTCTGTACTCTGCCCTTGGGTTTTACGTCCAAGATGCATTATCTTGCACTTATCCACATTAAATGTCAGTTGCCACAATTCTGACCATTTTTCTAGTTTACCTAAATCATTTGTCATTTGGCTTATCCTTCCTTAAACATCAACCCTGTTACATATCTTAGTATCATCATATCTTAGTATCACTACACTGAGGGACACTGAGGGACTGTCAGGAATTCGGAGATCTGCTGTTGGAGGTAACCTTTGCAGTTAAAACCTTCAGATGAGGAAGCGCCCAGTGGTTTTCGGACAACATAACTTCATTTCAGTTGGTATGATGTTCAGAGTGTTCCTTTAATAATTGTCACGAACGTGGGCTATTGGCCCAGCCGAGACAGTTGGGAGAGTGTGGAAGTGAACGGGTTAATGACACCAGACCTCTAGTTACCAGTTGCTAGTCCCAGCAAGCACTAAATTAACCCTTGCAATCCCTTCTACACTAACACCCTAGTACACAATTTACTGCCACCACCACAACTTTATATCCGGGCGTCTTAGGTTACCCCACACACACTAGAATTATAGTATCACAACCTTACTTTACTGATCAGACATATATAATTAACTCTTTTGGTAACGTGTTTACCTGAGCTTTCCTCAGAAGAGTGAGCTCATAGAGAACAAAGACACAAGCTGATTAAGTAAACATTTAATCTGACAAAAAGGATTCACAGTGCTGTGTACAAAAATACAGAAATAAATGACATGAGAAACACAGATAAGAGACTGCAAAACAGTCCATAAAATAGGAGAAAACACAAGAAATCCTTACATATATTTACCCCTTATATAGAATTCTTTTAATTCTAGTGGTCTCTCCTCCCCCCTTTCCATTAGTAGTCTCTACTCTCCCCCCCTTTCCATTAGTGATCTCTCCTCTCCCCCCTCCCCCTTAGTGGTCTCTGCTCACCTCTGCGCCCCCCTTTCCTTTGGTTTGTCTCTCCTCCCCACTCCTTTCCATTAGTGGTCTCTCCCTCCCCCTTTCCAATGGTGGTCTTTCCTCTCCCCAACCCTCCTTCCCTAGTGGTCTCTCCTCTCCCCCTAGTTGTCTCTCCTCCACCTGCCCCACTCTCCTCCTCTTAGTGGTCTCTCCTCACCCCACCCCCTCTTAGTGGCCTCTCCTCCACCGCCCCCTCTTAGTGGTCTCTCCTCCACCCGCCCCCTCGGGTCTATCACCACCCCCTCTCCCTTAGTGGTCTCTCCTCACCCTCCCTCCATAGGGTCTCTCCTCCCCCCTCAATGGTGGTCTTTCCTAAGCCCCCCCTCCACACCCTGTGTAACGTGGCCAAGCTCCGGTCAGATCCGCGGTACAGGAGTTTCTGTTTCCTGTACCTGGCCGGACTGACAGTAGGTGCTCACTTCCTGTCAGTCCAGCCGGGTACAGGAAACAGATGCTCCTGTACTTCGGACCGGACCAGAGCTGGGCCACACTACACTGAGGGACTGTCAGGAGGGAGCGCTCTGCTCTTCCCTTCTGCTGATCCCTCATAACTTGTGCCCCCTGGCCGGTGCGCCCTCATGGACGCACCAGCCAGAGCAGTGCTGCAGCCGCCTGAGGCTCTCTATAAAGTGCTCAGGCGGCTGCAGCATAAGGGGTGGGCGGTTATAGGAAGCGCTGGCCCTGATTATTACTCTTTTTATTGTACCTTATATTATCAATTTAAGAATTGATATTTAAAAAAATTCAGCAAAAATATTTGAAAAACAAACAAGATATCCACAACAAGGATAGTCTCCTAGCCAACCACTCCCCTCCAATGAAAAGTATATAGAGTGGGTGTGTGTTGTCAAAGAACCACTTTTAACTGCAGTAAAAATGGATAGCTTTTACTAAAGGAAAGAAGTTAAGGTTTGCCATTATGAGTGTTACAGCAAGGCCAGCCCTGATTTAACCCATTAATCCAATCTCTTTGCAGTATCTACGATGGACGGATGAACAGTAGCACAGTCAGTTCTCTATGCTCTTGGAAATGTCAAGGTGTTTTAGGTCATTGTCTCAATAATACTCACTGCCTCTCTGCGACGATGTTCCTCCTCTTTCATCTTTGCCAGGTCACTTTCATTTTCAGTCTGTTCTTTGTTCGCAAGGTCACTCTGATGCTCTTCCCAGACTGTCTCATGTTCAGTTTCGGTTGGTGTAATGTGCTCCTCCATGGGTGCCACATGCCCAATTTGAGATGGTATATTGTTAACATTTGTTCCATCGTTTTCTGTTCTGTAAAGCGACAGATTCTATTATGTAATACATTATGTAATAAAGTAGGGACGTCAAAGCACAATTTGCTGTATTTTTCGCTATATAAAACAAGGAGTGACAAGGAGTAAAAATTGGTACAGTAAGTAATTCAAAAGGTAAAGTGCTATTTCTATATCTTACATTCCAAAAAAGCAAACCATTGGTTATTTTTTAATGTTTTTACATCACAGTGCAAGGCATATGCATTTACAACCAAAAATCACATGAGCAGTGACCAATTCTCAAACAAAATACAGATATATAAAAAGTATTCGCAGTGTGAGTTTTTTTTTTTTTTTTTATAACAAAAATAAAATATTAGCACAAAACATAAGCTTAGCTAGGTTACGTGTCCAATTAGAAGAAGAGTTTAATGGCAGGATACTGGTTCAACAGGCCCCCATCATGGCTCCCAGGTCAACCTATGCCCTCCAAGGGCAGAGCAGAGTCTCACCGAATGGTAAGTAGCCAGAAGCTCAAGGGGTGAGGGAGTCCCAGTAAAGAGCCTCGTGGACTGCTGCAACATCAAGGTGTTTCATGTCGCCACATAGGTCTTAGGCCAAGGCCTGCTATGGTAGCAATGCTGGTACCAGACTTGTGTTTGTGGAAGGTACTGCGATTTCCAGAGCCTCCAGATTTGAACAGACATCCTCTTGCCGGTGTACCCACCTTGGGTGTGATAAACACACGGCTGTGGATACGGAGTTAGGATGGTTATCAGTGGCACATCTACGGAATCCTGCAGGTGGTGTCTGAGCTTGGTCCAGAATTCTTCAAACAACTTGTCTAATTTAACCAGGATAGGTAACTGCTGGTCTCTGGAGTCAACTGAACATGTGGTGCCCGTCAAGATAGAGAAAACAGGATTTCTTCAGTTTGTTCTCTGGTGCAGGTAGCCAGTCACCACAACATTAGTGGTGAGTGGCTTGTTAACCATCCCTGGCAGGGGTCGGGGATACACTGCATATATCAGAGAGACTAAAGGTGTTGGAATCGGCCCCCTCCCTTTTACCCACACTGAGTAAGCTACAGATCTGCCCCAGGCAAAATCCTCCAAATGTAATCAGAACTTCAGCTAGACTAACTACGCTTGAGCCCACAATGGTAGCTTTAGTTGCTTTAACATCAATACTTGCCAAACTAGCGGAAGTCTGCAGCTACCTGGCCGGAGAAATAACTCGCAGTTCAAAGAAGGTGAAGGCCGAGATACAGGCCCTTGGAGTCCGCACGTCAGACCTGGAGACTAAGGTCGAGCGGGTAGCAAAGGCCCATAACACAGTGGTCACCCACTCAAGCACGATGGAACAACATGTTAATGAACTGGAGATGCCAGTAGAGGACTTGGCGAACAGATCCAGGCACAATAACTTCCGGGTTCGGGGCCTCCCTGAAAAACAAAATGAGGGCCCCTTGATAGCCATGATTGAGCACTACTTCAAAAACCTCTTACCTGATATCCCAGAGGATAAATAGGTTATAGACAGGGCCCACAGAGCATTACGCTCCCAGAGAGCAGGTGGCACAGTGCCTAGGGACATAATCAGTCACTTTCACTTCTACTCAACCAAAAAGGCAATACTAAAATACAGCATAGATCACGCACTCATCTACCAAGATGCTACCATAACGTTATATCACGACCTTTCGCCAGCAACACTACAGAAACGATGGGAGTTGTAGCCTATGGCAGACCTCCTACAAAGACATGAAATACGAAATACCTGGGGCCACCCATTCAAACTCGTGGCATTCAGGGTGGGAATAGCCCATGCACTGCTGCTGGGGACGGACTGGCCCCTTTCCTCCAAGGTCTAAGCATAGACTCCCCACCGGACTTTGCCTTCCCTCAACGGAGCAGCCCTGGGCTTGCAGCCTTGCCTGAGGACTGGAATGCAGCAGGTAAGATCTCCAGCGGCACTACATGGAAGAAGTGATCTGCCTAGAACCGGCTTTCTGGGACTGATGCTCACCTGAATGGCACAGCTAAGTGATATTCTGCGACACGAAGTGTCACCCCGCTACTTCCACCCCGCGGAGGTGTTCTGGGCCTGAGATATCCAGACACCCATGGGGATAATCAACCGGGCACCATCAGTTTCATCTTCATAATATTATTATGTACATAATTAATATATTTGCTTTCATGAATTTATATGTGTACAGGGCTACTAAGATACAGATAGGGGATGGGTAGAGATCACAGGGGGGCCCACAATGACCACAGTACCTAGAGGCCTGTTATGTGATACGGAGGCAACGCTAGGTTGCATAGGTCCTAGATACACACCCCAAGCATGTGGAATCACTCAGATGGGGGCCACAACCCAGCTCTAGCCTCCCTGAGGCCTGAGAGCCCCCCCCGGGAGAGTGGACCTTAGACGGCTAATCTGAAGAGATAATACGACAAAAAACCCTTTAACTCACGACCTCTCTGCCGCACTTCTGGTGGGTCTGTGGGTGGAAGAAAGGGAGTGCTGGGTGCCTGCGGCCCCTGCCTCCTGCTCTGGCATGTCGCTTCCCGGCCTCCAGACCTAGCCGGCCGGTGCGCTTTCCCCTGATTGCAGGATGGGTCGGGGGATTATAGTCGCATGGCACTGGCGACACTACCATGTTTTGCTACTAAAACATGTTACGGGCATAGTCCCAATCGATATGACCCTACGACTCCCCACATAGCTCTTAAACCGAGGGTCAGAGATAATACAAGATCCTAACAGAAAAACATCAGAAACGTTGAGGTTTGCGCATTGATGCGTAGTGGACTGGGGCGATGGCCCCCCTTCCCTGACAGGGTACCAATTGTACACCCTACCAGACCATCAGAATTGTTTTTGTATATACTTTATTTGTTTATAGTTATAATTTTATTGCTCACTAACTCTTCTTCCTACAGCGACACCGGTGGGAGACATTGGGCGACAGAGCTTGGCCACACCCCTTCTCAAATCCCATATAGCTACACAGGCCCGACCCTAGTGGCCTCTAAGACCACAAACTACCAGCTCATTAATACCGATCAATGCACTGAAAATAGTCTCCTTTAACGTAAAGGGGCTCAACACTCCCAACAAGCAGAAAGTTCTACTAAGAGAGATAAAGGCTAAAAAAGCTGATAACGCTCTTATTCAAGAGCCACACCTCCCCAGGTCGGTACCGATAAGGCTAATGGATAAGGTATTCAGAACCGCACACGTGGCGAGAGCCTTACGAAAAAAGGCAGGAGTAGCTATCCTGGTTAATAAGCTGTGCCCCAAAGTGGTCACTCACAGTCAAGAGTACCCCAAGGAGTGAAGATAGCACACCAGCAGTTTAAGGTAACTGCCTACGCCGATGACGTACTACTCACTCTGACAAACCCATTGCAGTCCATGACACTGGCTCCGCTCCTAGACCGACACGGAAACCTCTCAGGGTACCACGTCAACCTGACCAAATCAGTAGCCATACCCTTCCACCTCTCCGGTTCAAACACGATGGACATACGACAAAAATCGCTACAGAGGCCTTCGCGTACTTAGGGATTAAATTTACAGCAGACCTTACCCAGCTGTATCACCATAATTACACGCCACTGTTACGCATAATCATGGAGGACCTAGAAAAGTGGACTGATAAACCCATCCCCTGGCTAGGTCATCTGCACACCATAAAAATGAATGTCCTCCCCAGATTGTTGTTTCTCTTCTAAGCCCTACCAGTACAAGTCACCAGAGGAGACCTAGCCAACATACAAAAGGCCATAAACACATTTATTTGGCAGAAAAAATGCCCAAGACTTTCCGAAGCCTATTATATAGTCCCAAGTCTAGGGGGGGATTCGGTTTACCAAACCTTTACCAGTATTACTTAGCGGCGCAATTGACCCAAATCGTCCACTGGCACTCCCCCCAGATAGGAGACAATGGGTAGAAATAGAATTGTTGTTAACAGGGGCAGACATCCCCCAATTTTACATCTGGGTCCCTAAACAACAGAGCTTTCCAGCCATCCTTTACTTCTTCCAAATATGGGACCAAACAGCACTAAAATACAAATACAAAGAAACAAGTCCTGCGCTCAAACTCCCATTACTCCTGGGCGGCAGCAACGACCATAGTACACATCAGCCAAAATACATATAGTAAAAACCAAAGAAAAATAAGTTACCTGCGCTCTTTCCACATCCCTATGTATTTTTAAACAAATTGAGGTTTTTAGTTACCTCCAATGGCCATGAAAGGGTATGCCCACCTGCCACATGAGGGCAGACCTCTTAGGTGGGTCCTTACTCTAACAATTCACCTTGCTTCCTTGAGCTTCTGGCAAAGATATCTCTAATGAGACAAAAAGGGGATTTTTAAATACATCCCTATATGCTTTTTAACCCTTAATGGGGAACACATGGGATGGGCAGCAGCATTGTAACCTAGCTGTGCGATACAAAAGTAAATACAAATACAAAGAAACAAGTATTGCGCTCAAAGGTCTGCCTTGACGTGGTATACCCTCTCATGGCCATTGGAGGTAACTAAAAACCTCCATTTGTTTAAAAATACATAGGGATGTGGAAAGAGCGCAGGTAACTTTTTTTTCTTTGGTTTTTACTATATGTATTTTGGCTGACGTGTACTACGGTCGTTGCTGCCGCCCAGGAGTAATGGGAGTTTGAGCGCAGGACTTGTTTCTTTGTATTTGTATTTCCTTTTGTATCACACAGCTAGGTTACAATGCTGCTGCCCATCCCATGTGTTCCCTATTAAGGGTTAATAAGCATGTAGGGCTGTATATATAAAAAATACCCCTTTCTGTCTCATTAGAGATATCTTTGCAGAAGCTCAAGGAAGCAAGGTGAATGGTTAAAGTTAGGACCCACCTAAGAGGTCTGCCTTGATGTGGCAGGTGGGCATACCCTCTCATGGCCATTGGAGGTAACTAAAAACCTCAATTTGTTTAAAAATACATAGGGATGTGGAAAGAGCGCAGGTAACTTTTTTTTTTCTTTAGCACTAAAATACACCTTAGGGGGTGCCCTCTCGCCAATGACCCCTGTACTCAGGAACAGACAATTCCCACCGGGAATGAGAGCAAAAGACTTTAAAGGACTTGAACATACGGGACAACAACGATTTATACATCTCTACATTGCCAATAACAGTCGCATACAAACACCTACAAAAAAAAAAACGCTTTACTTCCGCTACATACAGCTTAGGGACTTTACTCGCACCAAAGAGGTACGCGCAGCTGCGAAGATACCAAATTACCTTCATTGAAAAGTTATGTTTCGAAGAAATCTCCCAAACCAAGTTAATCACACTCTTATACCAGCATCTTTGCTCGAAATTGGGGGAGGAGGAACAGCTACATTATACAGATTTATGGGAAGCCAAACTGGGAGAGGAGTTGAAGGGGGATCAATTGGCAGGACATGTGGGAGGCACGCGCCAAATCCTCCATATGTGTTACGTTACAGGAGCAATCATATAAAACACTATGTAGATGGTACACTACCCCGTTAAAAAGTGTCACATGAAACGGAGTCCTACTGATTTATGGTGGCGCTTATGTGGACAAAAGGGGAGCTATATCCACATGTGGTGGTAATGCCCTAGGGTGACCGAGGCGGTCAACCTGAGCTCAAATATCTTCCAAAGGCGACTGAACCTAGACCCATGGGCGTGCCTATTATGCAAACCAACCGATGGTCTCCACAGACACAAGCAGAAGCTGCTCAACATAATCTATCTAGCAGCACATAGAGCGCTAGCACAACATTGGGCAAACCCCGACCTACCCTCAGTCGCTTTAGTGGTCACCAAACTAAGAGACAATCACCTTATGGATAGGCTAACAGCACAGGTCAGAAACACCACCATCACATTCCAAAAGGTATGGGACCTGTGGGAGCAATATGAAGCATAGTGCCCCTCAGAGGGGTTGGGGACCACAGAGGAAGCGGCAGGGGGCAGACCCTCTCTCACTGGTGTCGTAGGAAGTATCATAAACTTCTCAGGTTTATATTGTTTTGATGCTTCACTAGCGCTGAACCACCGCTTACTAGTGATATCTAGGGATCAGCTCACCGCCTCCAGTTGAGGTGGCAACTGCAAAGAAGGACTCAAAAGAAGGTTTCCAACTCACACCACTTAAAAGACATAGCGGTGGCGCAGTGATATTATGTTATGTTATTCTAAACGGTTACTTTTCATTTAATTTTGATTTTCAGCTTGTTTGGCAAGTAAAAAAATAAAATAAAATAAAATTGTATACCAACAAGCAGATCATAACATGAACACTTTTCTTTTCTGTATCACTGAAATGCAGGTATATGAAACAAGTTTGGCTTTTGCACAAGCCTTTATACCACATACTTGAAAACAAAAGAAATCTCAATGTATCCATCCTGGTAAAATATTTTATAAATAAATAAAAATGTACCGCAATTTCAAGTCATGGCAAAAATAAAGATATTAAAATAAAATAAAAATCAATAGATGCAACAATAGGTCCAAAAAAGGCATTAATATCAGCTTTTCTCTCAGAACTCTCAGAAGATGCCACTGATCAGCATGGCAGTCAGGCCCCACTGAGCATTGATTTATTTTGACCTTAAACTGGAATGTTCAGGCATTCAATACATAGCATCACATGATACATGACAGTGGGAAACGGACACCTGAACAATAACACACACAGACACCTGTGGGTTCATGATATGCTGAGTCACTTCCTGATCTGGTCAGCACTCACATCAGAAGCTATGAAGTCTCAGGATTCATAAAAGGTGCAATATTATTTTTTTTTGCCTATATCTTAGGCAGCTTCTGAAAAACATTATTGACCATTACATCCTGGAATGCCCCTTGAAGGAACACTTCAACATTAGAAATACAAATGTATTCCTAATGTTTGAATGCTTTACAACTATTTAGATGCAACCGCGCCTCCTGAAATAGAAAAAGAAAATGCTTATCTTACCTTATATTCTTCTCTGTGTTGGTCTTGCCATAGCCATCGCTACTTTCCTGGCTGTTATCATCAGTAGCCAATCCAAAGATTGTTCAAGGCAAGCATTTGGAGGGCTTATGTACATGCGTGGCAATAGCTGTTTATCTCCTCATAGAAATATATTTTCTTAATGCATCTCTATGTAGCAGGCATGAAGACACTAAATGAAACCATGAAACCCCTCTAGTGGCTACCTGAGGTGGCCATAGGATGCAAAGTGAACACTTCCTTTCCTCAGAAAGGGAAGTGTTTACACTGAAAAGACTGCAGGAACAGACTCTTTTCCCCCAGAACCACTACTTTAAGCTGTAGTGGAGTGTCCTGTTAACATAATCCAAAATACATAGAAATAAAAACTAGTGAAATTTAAGGAAGATAAACCTACTTTAGAGCAATATGTCATAACAACAAACCTTGATTTGTCCTTTGTCTCATGTTGACTGTCTTGAAATATCTTCAGTTCCTGGACCTTCGAGGCTCGTTCTTTCTCCTCTTTTTCTAAGGCCGCCTTCCGGAACTGCTGGAAACAACTGCTTGATGATTTTATAGTCACAGGAGTGGTAGTTAGAGATTTGGAATAATTTGCCCAAGAGATGGAATTTTTTAGCTTAATGTTCTAGAGTGCAAAAAAAGAAAAAATAGGTGCATAATGGCACACAATTTCTCAATTCTGTGTATTAGAAGGTGGTCTTGAAAATATTGTAAGCATGGCATCACTTTAAAGAGTTAAATATCATCAATTTTATTTACATATTTTGGTCTTAACCATTATCTTTATGCCATCAGGTGTAGAGGCAAAATCTGCAGATATAGCTGCAGAAATGGATGCAACAGTTTAATTTAAACACTTATTCTGAAACAATATACAATGAAACAAAAATTGTGTATCCACACAGTAGGTAGCTTTAATCCACAACAGATTTCAGAAAACATGCACAGAAAAAGGAAGAAGATTAGTGCAGTTTCTCAGAGTTACAGGGTTCCTCCAACCCTTAGCATTTATGATGTGTTTTGACCTCATAATGCTCTATTGGACACATCTAGCTAGGCCCCCCCATCTTAAAAGATTTTTGTTAAAGTCTTTTGGGGGGGGCACTGACCTCCTGCCTTCATCTGAAGCCACATATCCCTCATAAGGATCCAATCACAGGCTTCTCATAGAGAAGCCTGAGATTGCACCTCTTTGCCAACTCAAAGAGCATGTAACCAATCTGATCTGGCGAGAGGAAGACAGAAGCAGTGGGGAGGCAGAGAGGGAAGGATTTAAAAAAAAAATAAAAAAATAAAAAACTGGCTTAATGAAGGGAGGTAGAGTGACTGCAGGCAGGGAAGGAGGGGTGAGGTCTAACCTGGGCTGGATCACTGAGTATGACCCTTAAAAACCAAGGGTCTGCAATATTGAGATAAATAACATGTTATTTACTGAGTGTTGCATTACAAAAGGACTCTACACATTGTACTGTTAGAACAAATTTGACACATTAAACCACAAAATATGGTTTCTCGTATTAATTTTGTGGGTTAAAGGTTGGCAATAATTTGGTTAAATTAAACGACAGACTGACATTTAAAGACACTTGATTATGAAAAATATTTTGTTTTTTCTATACTAAAAATGTGAGTGTGTATAAGCTTTATTATATGCGACAGTGAAGCATTCTTTTGATCAACTGGTGCTATAACTTGGCTCACCTCAGCCTTCTCTGTCTCATCTGCTGCAATTGAACAAGGCTCTGTTACTTGTGGTTTATCAAGTGGAGGCAGGTTACATGAAGGTGACTGGATCGGAGATACTACCTGGTTAAAGCCTATAAACAATAATGAAACAATCAAGTGTATGTACATTCCCTTTATAGTTCACTCATGTGTAGAATAAAAATGATATAAAGTAAGATGGTATATCATCTTATGTGAAAGGGTTACTCTAAGCACCATGACACTCTCAGTAATTTGGAATGGTCATGGTGCTTGGAATCTCCATGTACAGCTTTTAATTAAGTACACCTCAGAGACAGTGGCATTAGCAGCACGGAAAAGTTTCAAGTTACTAATGTTTTGTGCGTAAAAAAAATTATAATCCGTTGTCAGCACACGTAGCATGCTGGCAATGGATGAGCAATGTATTAAAACTAAAACAGTGTTTTATTAAAACTGTTTTTGGTTGGAACAACCCTTCGAAAGTTGCAACACCCTCTTCTTGCAAACACTCTTCTGATATTTCAATGAAGATATATATTACAATGTTACAGTAACCCTATGCCATCTAGTTAAAGGACCACTATAGTGCCAGGAAAACATACTCTTTTTCCTGGAAGGTGGAAAGGGGTAAAAACTTACCTTTTTCCAGCGCTGGGCGGGGAGCTCTCTGCCTCCTCTCCACCTCCGATCCGCCCCGTCGTCTGAATGTGTGCGCATTCAGCCGGTCGCATAGGAAAGCATTCATAATGCTTTCCTATGGACACTTGCGTGCTCTCACTGTGATTTTCACAGTGAGAAGCACGCAAGCGCCTCTAGCGGCTGTCAATGAGACAGCCACTAGAGGATTTGGAGGAAGGCTTAACCCATTGATAAACATAGCAGTTTCTCTGAAACTGCTAAGTTTATTAAAAAAATGGGTTAACCCTAGAAGGACCGGGCACCCAGACCACTTCATTAAGCTGAAGTGGTCTGGGTGCCTAGAGTGGTCCTTTAATAATTTATAATTCTTTACACTTGGTCATATCAAATTATTTATACCTGGTGTTTACTGAGATTTTGTGGACCGAGATAAAGATGTATTTGACTTTGAATAATTTTAATAAAATTAAGGATACATTTAATTTTACGGATTGATTCTTGGTACTTTTTTTTCACCGTTTCTTTTTAATTGGTTTTCTTTTTTTTTTTTTTTCACATTTGCTAAATATGCGTGCTCTGTTTTATTTCTTGATTTTCACTCTGTGAAGGGGTTGGAAGCATAACAATCATGCAAGAAATGGTATAGTATCATGTTTTCAATGATGTCCAGATATGGAGCAGTTATCCAACATAAAGATATAAAACTATATTTAGTTTTCCATACTTCTATGTCGTTGGAAAAAACTAAACTACAAACATGGCAACCAAAACAGACATCTTTTTTTCTTCCAATTCGACAATCTTACAAGGGGTATTCCATAATAACTGTAGAATACCAAACTAAGCATATTAGAGAAGATGCATACCACGTCATACCAGCCATTTGACTACTACAGCATATTGATAACATTTCTCTAACAGAATCTGACATACCATTCCACATTACTTAAAGTGGCTCTGTCACCCCACCCCTGCATAGGAGTATTTCATAAGGATAGAATATTTATCAAATACTCAGATTGACTGTTTTGGAATTCCACAGAAATTGCAACCCAGGCAAAAAATATACGGAGCCAAAGTATGGACTACTTTGTTTAAGTATTTTCACTACACTTGAGAAAAGGAAGAATTAACTTTTGTCTAAATTGCCTCCCCCCCCCCACCCCTGCCGTCACCAGTTATGGCTGTAGGGAAATAAATCTCTCTCACGAGACTACAACACTGATGTCTGCTCTGGGCAGCTGAAGCAAAAGGAGCTGCAGAGGAGGGGACGGAAGAGAATTGCAACAACACGAGGGACAGGTTTAGGAAAGTAAAACCTACCATCTCCTGCCCACATGGCCAGCGGAGACACAGCAGCAATGTCAATGTTGGGATTGTTTGCTGGTCAATAAAGGCAAACTGAGCTGTAAGTATCTATAGCTATAAATAAAATATATATTTAAACACACAAGTATATTAGAATATTGGATATCATAAACCTTACCTAGTGGAGATAACATGATTTGATTCTCTGAGTTACGTAAAGCTGATCCCAGTAGTTTTTTTGGTGGTGACATTTTGAGTTGAATTGATTGCTCAAAATATGACTTTGCAGAAACGGATATGGTTGATAACTATTCGTGAAAAAATGGAAGAAAAAACAAATACATGTGAGTTGTTAAAAGAACCTTAATCATTTCAAGATCATCAACAGTAGTTACAATAGTCTAACCATTGTCATTCACTGACAGCTCTATTGTCCTTCTAATGCAAAGTTACGTAGACCATTCCATACTAAGCTAGGGCTGGGGTGGGCAACCTATGGCATGTGAGACTTCCAACCCAAATGGGCTAGTGGGGAAATCAGAGTATCTCCTCAGTTGGCCAACAGTGTCCCAGTGCACAGGAACTAATGGTCTGTACCCCTAGCAGATACCACAGGAAACTCTCAGTGATTCGGAGCATTTCCAAGGGTCAACATTGCAATGCTCCAACTCACTGGCAACTCGCCGGAGTGAGAGGCAGAAGAGCTCTGCACCCACGGAAGGTGCTGACTGAAAGTTCCACCACCGGATCCATGTCCACTTCTCTGGCCTAGAAGAAGGTGACAAAAACCAAGTTTACAACAAATGTATTTATGTAAAGAGCCACACACACCACACAACACTACAGCCCACAAATACACAACCCTACAAAACCATGCCTCTCACAACACCACAGGCAGCCCACAGATACATAAACAGCATAGATAGCCCCCACCACACACACACAAAGCACCACAGACTGCCCCTACTGCACACCCAAATACCACAAGCAACCCACATGCACACATTTAACATCACAGTCTACATACATACACACACAAATACTATAAGCAACCGACATACACACAGACAGCCATGCCCACACACATACATAACACAACAGACAGATTATATACACACAATGCTAAAGACAATCTGCACCACACAGAAAAATATTACAAGCAATCCACATACACTTAACATCACAGAAAGCATGCACACACAACCACAGTCTTCACACATACATAACAAAATCAGGAAGCCTACATACATAGGCATTACCACGTACAGTCCCTACTACACACAAAAATATTACACACAACTCACAAACTTATCAGAGACAGCACAAATACAAAGAATACACCTCACACACCAGGCTGCCCACATACACATAAACACAAATATCATGAACAGTCCACATACACATGCATAATGCCACAGAAAGACACACACCAAATGACCAGAAACAGGGCATATGCATATACATAAAACAACAGGTTGCCTACACACATACACACCACAAACAACCCCACAAAATTTCACAAACCGCTCCCGCCAAACACTGCACAAAAATGCAGCCAACATTAAAACCCTACATGCCAACCATTTCACACACACAAACTACAATGCACAGACAACAGTACACACTGCCCGTATACATTTACATAGGAACACAGACATTACACTCACAATACATTTAGCCCAGACAAATATACACTTGTACAGCCTAACAAAGCATCTCCCGCATCTATACGCAACACAAGTTGAGTACCTCAACATACATAAATGTTATTTTTAAAAAGTAAGGCAGGCACCCTAAGGTACTTTAAAGTTTTACTTTTGGGGTAGTGCTACCAAAAGGTTGCCCACTAGGGTCTGCATGATTGATCTGTATTGGTCAACCATGATTTTATTTATCATATAACCTATATCTTCATTAGTCAAGTAGGGTTATTCCGTACTCTAAGAAAGAACTTTCTGCATACTTAAACTTGAACGGCTGAAAGGGGTTTGAAGAATATACTAGTAAACAAGTTTGTGACTTACTGATTTCAGTACTGTTTGATTCAAAGCCCAATGGGCAAGCTATACGAATAATGGGGCACTGAGGAAAACATTAGGTAAATACTTCCATTGTAGATGTTACAATTCATTTGCATAATAAACTTGAGGTGATTACTGGCAAGAAGAGGGGATTCATATACCTTTCCTTGTTGTGCAGGTGAACATTTCTTGGCGTGTTTTTCTGTAAATATAAGGAAAAAAATGTACACTTGTAATATAAAATGTTTCTGATTTAATATAGATGCAAAATTATATGTCATTCTATATATCTGGAGTTTCAAACAAGGAAAAAAAATGTTTTTTAGACATTGCCTGGGGAAATAGGAAGAAAGGGGGGAATTAGAAAGTTGGCTGGGGACGGTGGTCTATAAAGGAATGTTATTTTGTAATGGGGGTATGTAATGAGAGAATTGATGAGAAGTGTGCATGGAGGCTGGAGGGGTATTGGGAGAGAGGCAGGAACATGGCGACTGGATGATTGTGGGAGAATTGTTTTGTGATGAGGTAATATTCTAAATACATCTCTGACATTAATATACATCTATTTACCAAATGGAGGGATATGAAGGAATGACATTATTGGTGCAGTAAACCCCATTATAACACATTCAGATCATGTACTGTAAAGAAACATTTTTAGATTAAATAAATATATAGTTTTAATAACATTTTAACCTGTAAAAATGACCAATGAGGACTGATCACCCAAAAAAAAATTATTTAAAAAAAAATCATATATTTATTTTATGAAGGATATATAAGAAGGATTGAGTATTTTCTGATTTTAAAGTATACTATTGGACAGTGGTTTCTAAGCTTTTTGTATAAAGGCTCACTTCAATAAGAGAAAAATAAAATAAAAAAATAAATGCCTGCCTGTTTGTTTTTTCACAGTTTTCAGCATTTCATAAAATTTATATTTATGTAAAAACGAACTAGATATATTAGCGTACTAGTCAAATTAATTTATTTTAGTTAACTGTCAGATGGCAATCCCAACTTAATGCTAACACTTATTAAATACATTGCACAAGGCAATAGTTGACAAATGCATAGATGTTATGCTAAATCTGATTGAATAGATGCTCCCTACACCTGTCAATCAGTCTTTACCATAGAGGTTTTTGTCCACAATTGATTGACAGAGTAGAGCAGGAGAACCTTCCTACAGTTGTTTTTTTCCTATCACACTACTGTTACCCTGGGCAAACACGCCAAGAGCTTGTTGATAAGAGTATAGAAACGACGTGACAGATGTCACTCAGGTCAGACACCAGTTTGTTAGCATCATGGAGGCTCACGTGTCAAAAAATACATTTTCATAGTAACATGCAAAATTTCTACAGGTTCCATTTGCCATGATCTTCTGTTTTAACAAATGTAATTGTATATCAGTGCTGAGTTTAAACCTCTATCTAGGGAACTTTTACTTTTATTTACTTGGTTTTCTTTTTCCACAAATGTGCCTTATGAGATTCAGAAACTGTACAGTAGTAAACGTGGGGAATTACTTCAACCAGTTTTTTTTTTACTCACATCAAAAGCTTTAATAATGTGTAGCTTGATGCAGTCAGTTTAGAGATGTTTCCGACACACTGAACCAGTCAGCATTGTGCCGAAGAGCTTGGATTTGTATCTGCTCATTCCTATTCTAACTGGTGCACTGACATAACATTTTTTTTTAAAACATTTTTCTTAAAACACTCAGATATTGAGAATTTATCTTAATCAGTGGGGATTTTCTGGAGTTTTTCCAAACTTGCTACCACTTTCATAATGCCATTGGTTTATAAAGACAATGAACAGTCCAAATCCTGCTTATGTATGCGCAGAGTCTAGCCTACAATGAAAACAAACACAATAGCAAACTGGGGGGAGACAGAAACAGAAAAAGAGCAAGAAAGTAATGAGAGAAGAGGGATTTAGCAGCCAGTCATGTTTCAGTTTCTTTTAAGATGTGAGGCTTTGTGGTATTTATTTTATCAGTCGCTATTTATGTATTATCATCCCATGTTGAGAGTGCATGAAATCCTAGGATCCTTGTTTTTACAGCAGTTGAATGCACAGGCTAGAATGTAATCACCTCCAAATGTCTCAGACAATATGTCACACAATACTTATTTAACACAATCATAACTCATCAGATACTTATTACACCAGTTTCCCACCTTTACTGCACTGAATAATGCACTTAACTGTCTTGAAGATACTTTTTACGACACATGGCAGGAGGACTGGCTTTGTTACATTTTGTTTTTCCACTCAAACTGCCAGTTGTATCTGTAAGGTAGTTTAGTATTTTTATAACTATTTTTATGGGGTTCAATTTCTCTGAATACCCTAGTTTTAATTTGACGTTTTCATAAAATCTTGTTGAGCTATATTTTCGAAGTTTGTGTGACTATTTCGTGTCTCGCACAATACCTGGCACGTTACATCTCTGAAAAATAGCTATATTATTCAATAGCAGGGCAGCACAAGTACGTTTCTCTTTAGTGCTGGTATAAGGGGCAGGCAATGCTTTTTAAAGCAAAATCAGCATGCACGCTAAAAGGACAAGTACCATTTAGTAGCAAAATCCTTTCCAAAAATCATTATTGGGATGAGTTCATCAGAATACATGGCCCCTACTTTCTGGACTCAAGGCAGAGTTAGATGGTTAGAAGCAACTATTTGGATAATGACCATATGGCACAAAGACAGATTATATAATATATGATTTGCTATGCAGATTAAACCAAAAAAGACAAATATACAAGGGATTGCTTATGCTGAAAAATGCATTATCCGATGGCTATTGAAACCCAGATGAATATGTGAAACGGTTACTTTTGTTTTCTGAACATATTTTGCAGGTATTGGATATTATTTTCAAGAAAAGAATCTCATAAAAAGGTAGTAAATAGCCGAAATATGATTACAACAGATATGGTATAGGTTAACTCAGGAAATTAATTGAAGAACTGTTATGGAGTCTGCAGTCTCTACAATTATATAAAAATATAAAAGAAAATTGATATAATTGAAATGAAAGATTAAAGACAGTGTCCCGCATATGGGAATAATGACTATAACAGATTTACAAGTGGTAAACAGCCTTGTTAAAAATAACTGTTATATTGTTGAAAATAAATTTCTGTTCTATATGCTAAAGGGAGTCAAAAATCAGGAACGAGTCATGGACCACCTTAATTCTTGTAAAACATATAAGGTGCATTATGTTAATGTATTCACGTTTGGGGTGCTGTAGGGTAATATGATCAGCAACATCCACAGGTTTGTTACATATAGGTAAACATGAATGTTTGCATAGTTTCTTACTGTTCGCTCATCTTGCATGATCTCAACTTATTAAAAATTTTTAAAAAATAACGCCAGAATCCTTGGAACAAATATGTGGACTTTTAAATGTACCGTAGACAAGACAGTTAAGTGACAAACTGGATGGTTTCTATGAAATTCCTAATGAGCTGAAGGGAGTTTTGGGCTACCTCTTACTATCCCATTTGTCGTGGGATGGAATTACATGTACCCATTTGTTCTTTTCACTAATTTGAAGTATGTCCAGTTAATCACTGCACTAACATGGAATTTTACACTAACAGTAGCATTGTTAGGGGATGTAATCCCCAGTCCCAAAGTGGCAAACACCCTCTCCAACAAGATAGCTTAACTCTTCACTCCCAATACCATCAAAATCTAAGAAAAAAAATAAATATCTGAAGCTTTAACACAAGATATTTGCATCCACCTGCATCATGGGTAAAACACAACGGGATTCTCTGGACCACAACCGAGGCAGGTAGATGAGAGGGGCATTGATCTGCCAGTGATAGGGTTGATAACTACTTTGCCCATTTGAGGGCTGATAACTTTTGAACTGGAGAGCAAGTACTACTGTGAATAAAACTCTGAGATCTCAGTAAGGATCATCCTACTCACATGGAATACATGCCTTTGACAGGAGGAGACTGCTGGAGTTGTAAGGTGTGTGACACATATCCCTGGACTTCCATTTGTACAACCTGCATAGTTTGGTGGAGATCTGTACATGTCTAAGACACACAGACTGTTTTTGTGAAGTTGGTCATGAGCACTTTTTGATCTCCCACATCTGCCAACTGCAAAAATCTCCACTTTAAATATTAATCTTGTCTGACAGACTGGTTGGTATGAAACACTTAACTCTATCTGGATATATCTCCGGGGACACCAGCACAGTCCTGGATAGCCCTGAGATTGCTGGCCACCAGAACAAGCACAAACTTACACCGTGCTGGGTTAGTACAGACCCTGCACAATTTGTGCCTCACTTATGTAGCATCCCTAAAAAACCCTCCTCCTACTTTTAATCAGCAAGAGTTGTAAGACTGCACCCCACAACTCTTGCTGATGGTGGTCAGCGGGACACTTGTTCTTACCCCCTTGCCAGGTCTGTGTGACCCTGCATTTGCTGCATTCCCTCATCCCACATAGTGTAAGAAATCAAATGTATAGGAAGGAGTAGGATGAAGAGAAAACCAGTGCTCAAGGGAATCCTAATTATTCAGGGTTTCTGCAGACTGCTACACTGGATTTTATTTACTAATTTCTTTTGACACTTTTGTTGTTTAACACAAAACAGGAAAATTGAAATGCCCAAATCTGCCTCTGTGTGACAAAATGCTGGGGCAAATGAAAATTTGCTAAGTGTATGTGCTCCTATAAATAGCACAGAATTTGGAGTGTGTGTGTTTTTCACGGACAGCAAATTGCTGTGAATTTAATTTGCCTATTGGGGGATAACCTTCAACGTTCCCTCTAAACTGCTTGTATTGTGTATACAGTATTTAATGTTTAGGTCAGACTAAGTGATATTTACTGTGGCACTTGGAGAAACCTTACTGCTTATTAATCTACTTGAAAAGAGACACGTATCCATCAAGTTCAGCCTTTCCCACATCTGTTTTTACTGTTGATCAAAAAGAAGGCAAAAACCCAGTTTGAAGTGCTTCCAATTTTGCAACAAACTAGGGAAAAAATCCTTCTTGACCCTAGAATGTAAGATATCTCCTAGGATCAAGAAGCTCTTACCCTACTAATTAAAAAATATATCCCTGAATGTTATCTTTTTGCCAAAAATAATATATATATATATACACATACACACACACTATGGAACAGTGATACAGTATGGATGGATGAAAAGTTGTGAAGGTGACATTAGAGATGACTTAAACAGGGTAAAAAGCAGTTTGTGAATAAATACATTTATATTGCTACCTTATTATTAACCATCATTGTGGTATTGGGAAACAATGGCTGCCATAGAAAAAAAATCCAAGAGAGTTGCTTAATGCAGACTATATTTAAGAGTCTAAAGTTGAAAGAACAAAAAATAAATAAAAACATGGATAAAAAAGGAATTAAAGGAATGACACTATATTTAATATTTTGCTTCATGATATGTTTTATTAGTCATTTAGATGCAACTGTACAGATGATTTTGAATGAGACCAATAACATACGAGTCACGACTTTTTTTTTTTTTTAATGCATTTAAACACTTTTCTTAAATGTTAATCATGGGAACATATAAACAAAAGAAGATTTAAATAATGCTTAACTACCTAATAAATAATGCCTATTACAACTTATTTGTTGTAATGTTAAACGTTTTCACAAAATGCCATATCTTATAGAAATTAATGTAGGTATAATCTAAGAAAAATATTTGCTAGAAACACTCTATAACTTTTGAAAACTATACTGCTAAGTCAAATAAAGGTAATATTTCTTGTAGACTGAAACAACAACAACAGACCGATAAGGATTTATTTCAGACATTTAACTCAGGATAATAAGGTTTGTAGTTTTGTGAGAATGTATGTCTATAATAAGTGGGCTTTAGTATTTGCTCTCTATATATGCACAGAATATAAATAGCCATCTACTAGTAAGTGATAACCTATTTTGCTGACACTCTCCAAGTTTCAATTAATAAATAAAGATTTAGTAGATCATTTTGCATACCCCTAGCATTTTAATTGTTTGGCCCCAAGAATGGCTGGAATGCGGATAACATAGCAAGCCTGTGGATACAAGAATGTCCCACATCAAACGCAGGACTCAATTTAATATTTTTGGGTAAGCTTTTCAAATGATCACAATCTGTTAGAATAACTTTTCAAATGATTTATCTAAAAAAGTCATTAATTCTATGGGGATTTTTGTAGATAAATTATTTGAAAAGTTTTTCTAACATATCATTTGAAAAGTATATACAAAAATATTAAACTGAAGTCTACTTTTGCCACTAGCAGAACTGATGAATAACAGGTGTGCTCTCTAAACCACCGGTGGTGGTAACTGAAGAAGCTTGCTGGGCCAGGGTTAAAGAAAGACCCCGAGAAGCATCTTAGAACAGGTCTACGTCAGGCATCGAAATAAACAGATGTTCTAATTTTATTTACTGCAAATGATTTCTAGATTAAAATAGGAACTTTGAAATAAGCATTGGTTTACCACATACATGTTGCGATTTTCTACATCTCTTATAAAACGTTTAGACGTGGCATGAGCAGGCTTGCATATTATTTTCTGATAATGACACAACCAGAAAGTTACAATATTTTGTTTGTTTTATTAAAATAGGTATCCATTTAAAATGGTGTTGGTAACTAAGATACTGGTAATGCCAAATGAAATTATGCCAGGTTTTCAGCTAACCTGATTCAGAGTCACTGCTATCCGATGAGCTGGAGTTACTGCCACTGCTGTCAGCAGAACTTGAGGAAGAAGTACTGCTACTCTCGCTTAGTCTGCAGGTTCCTCCAACTGAAAGTGGGGTGGACGTTACTTCTTCTGAAAAACATGGAAACAGGTCTGTAAAATCTAACATTACTAGGTATGGCATGAACTTTCCATTCTAGCATACATACATTTTGAGGTTCAATCACTAAAAAAGGAACTGTGGGGAATGGACAAGGGATTTGAACATTTTAGAGGAGTTCAAGCTAACACTGGATCACTAATAGGAATAAATTCTCTTCCTCTAACATTCTTCAAAAAAACAACAAAAAACAAAATAGGAAGAACTGTTGGGTATGAAACACGCAAGTCCAGTTTCTAACTTCCTTTGAACCTATAACATGAATAACTAGTTCATGTTTAACTTGGACTAAAGAAACATAAATATGAATCCTATGTAGGCTCACTTATTTTCACGAGGGATATGGTGTTTGCAGGAATTTTTTCCAGTGAAAGGAGGATCTCTTTTGAGCCTCTTGCAGACATACCGTGTCATATTATACCTTAAATTGAACTCCGAAAATAAAACTATAAAAAAATGGGTCCCTATTTTTCTCACTTTTAAAGTGATGGCAATATGCAAAACCAAAAACAAATAACTCACAAGTGGAAAAAAAACACACTGTTATTAAAAAAAAAAAATGTATACCCGGTATATATATATTTTTTTTAACACAAACTAGTATAAACTAAAAGCATTTGCACATTTGGCAGAGCAAGCATCCGTCCTTTTCCATAATCTCTCCTACTGCTTGTTCCATTTGTCGTCTTACATGTTAAACACATTGAAACCCTGTGTATTCAAGTTTATGGCCAATATAAACATAGGTTATCTACATGCACTGTAAAAATGTTATTGCCCTGAAAGCCTTAAACAAAATGTAAAATATTACATGCCATGCATATATAGCAAAACAGATGGATAGCTACCCATGGTTTTAAATTTCTTTGCAGAGGTTAGTTGTCCGCTGACATCTTGAAGACGTTTCTCCAGCTCGATCTTCTTTTCCTTAGCCTGCTCCTCTTTAGATTTGACAGATTTATCCACTGCAAATAAATCACAATCTTATAATGAACGGCTTGCAGAGAAGGGTATTGAATTAGAATGTGTGTAAGGAAACATATACCTACCACTATTCTTCCTTGGTCTCTTCCGCAGACAAAGCATCACATATCTTTCCAGATGCCTTAGGGTTGATGGTTTCAAGGTCTCAAAATCTATTTCCATTTCATGTGGATTAGAGTCTTTAAGTGATGGTTCTCTGGACTGTATGATATGAACAATACGGCTAAGCTTCTCTCCAGGCAATTTATTGATATCCAGACTCAACTGTCTTTTTTCATCATAGCTCATGGGTTTAACATGCTCTTCGTCGGAAAGAGGCACTTTCTTTTCCTTGGAGTCACTAAAACAAAAACAAATTGCGTGAAATCTTATTTCAGCATTGTGAGTTAATAGCAAGATGTTTATTGTTTGTTTGTATGTTAATGTTAGTTAATAGAAGTTAATATTGTGTAATACTGATAGGGTTATTTGATAATTGTCAGGAATTCAAAGTGAATACTCCCTTCAGTAAAGAACCACGTGAACTGCCTCCAGTTTCATAATAAACTCTTGAAAATAAGTTTGGCACTTCCAGATACTGTGAGAACCCGCTGCAATGTTAGTATCTATAAGATGATGGCACCTGCAGGGGTCTATTTGCTAGAGTTCGAATAGCACTGTACGTAGTGGAGAAAACTATTTGGTGCAGTACAGGGCCATTCAGATGGCAAAATCTGGACATTGTTTGCCCTATTTAACAAAGTCTGGATTTTTAAATAATAACTCAAACGATCTCAGACGACTGAAATCCAAAATGTTAAAATTCAAACACAATAACACCACTAGCCAAAGTGCTTCCTCCATAAAGCATTTCCATAAAGAAACAACATACAACATTAATAATAAAAAAGGAGCAAACTGCAAAAATAAATAAACAAACACAGAAATCTACTTTATATAGATTTAAAAAACACATTTACTTTAAGAGTTTCTTCTTCATTTCTTTCTGTTCAAGCTTTTTCTTTTTTAAATTCTGGCGTGATTTCTTTTTTAATCGTTTTTTCTTGTTCTTGGACTTTTTCTTCTTCTTCTCCTTCTCCTTCCTGGACTTCTTCTTGATTTTGGTAGAAGGTCCATCACTTAACGCCTGCAGTTGTTCTTGCACTGCTTTAAGCTTTAAAAATAAAAGTTAACAATCGTGATTTTATAGTGACATCTTGTGGACACCTTGAAAAGACAGCCAAACATCTTGCAAACTAAATGCAAAAATCCCAAAACCTCCAGAGTAAAATATTAGCTTGATATGTATGATTTAAAAAAAAAAAAAAAAAAATGAATGTGAAGGAAGTAAAGAGACACTATAAGAACCAAAACTACTACAGCATACTGTAGTATTATTGGAAGCTAGATGCTGCCCCTTCACTGCGACAACTGTAAACATTGCTGTTTCAGAGAAATGTGTCAGTCAGTTTGCCTATGATGATGTCGTGCAGTTAAATCTACCCACTGAGAAGCATTGCAATGCTTCTCTAGGAGGAGAGTCCTATTGGCATAGAGCAGCTCTTTACGCAGATGCACAGTTGGACCTTCAGTATAAATCCCCAACAGGAACACAAACATAAGTACCTATTTTTATAAAGGTAGAGCATTCCTTTAAGTATAATGGAATTTGCTTAACCTCATCAGATTGAAAAAATGAAAAAATGCAGTACTTAGTGAGAGCACATTTATGGACAATATGACATATGGCATAGTTATGGACAATACACGTCACAGTATATTTATAGATAATATGACATAGGTCTTTCATAATTGCATATTTGTAATAAAAAATGTAAATGGAAGAAAACTGAAAATGTATCTATGCAGGAATTTATTTCGAAGGACACCCGCTGAAAATCATTTCTAGACCACCACCATTGCTTACCTGCTTCTGGAGTAAGGAAAGACGTCGCTCACGCTCATCCTCATAATCTGAGGAGGCACTGTTATCAGAGGAATTTGAGCTGGTGTCTTCATTAGATGATAGCTTGAATGGGGACATGTTAGGCTTATCAACAGGCTCATCAGGGATTTTGGCAAATAGCACCTCAAAAACATCCTAAAGAAAAAGCCAAATTTAATCATTTAAAATGCAGATTTCCTCCATAATAAAATCTGCCTACTTTCATCTGAAAAACATAGCCAGGATACAATACTTAATTCCACCGGATGATATGCCAACATTAATCCATGCATTTGTATCCTCTCAGCTAGATCAATGTACTTTACTTGGGCCTCCCAGAAAAAAGAACTCCATCGCTTTCAGACGATACAAAATGCAGCAGCCAGACTACTGACCAATCAAACTTGCTCCTGCCACATAACACCTGTTCTTCACTCCCTGCATTGGCTTCCTATTAAGTGGCAAAAATGTTTTAAAACTGGCCTGCTGACCTTCAAAGCCTTAAACAATCAAGGACCACAGTACCTGAAAGAGCTCCTGACACCCTATATTCCATCCTGTTCACTTCGGTCAGCCAGCAAATCCCTCCTGTCAGTGTCAAGAATAAAGACAGACTCCGGTTTCAGGGCATTCAGCCACGCTGCCCCTACCTTCTGGAACTCTTTACCATGCGCAATCAGATAGGCAGCGTCCTTACAGTCTTTTTTTTTTTTTAAACTAAAGACCCACCTCTTTTATCAGGCATTCCGTCCGCTCATCTGACCTTCACAAACTCCTAACTTTTATGTCTTTATTTTGTAAAGTGCGTTGAGTCTCACAGGGAGAAAAGTGCTATTTAAAAAAATCAAAAAAAAATAAAAAAAATAAAAATAAATAAATAAATAAAAATAAAAAAAATCGCTAATTATTAATATTATTATCCTTTGTAAATATATACTTGCATAACCACAGGCAATGCGCCACATTCCGCCATATACTTTCCCTGTCTCAGAAACACTTTAAAGACATGTTAATTATTGGCGGGGACTTTAACCTCTCACTAGACGCAGGTAAAGATACCACAGCAATAAACCTAAAATCAGCTAGATCCCAAATGCACTCTCTACTTACACAACATCGGCTAGTGGACACCTGGAGAATTCTACACCCCACAGCCAAAGACTACACTTATTACCCAACAACACATACACCAGGATCGACATGCTACTCCTCACACACCACTACCTTAACTGGCTTCACAAAGCAGACATAGAACACAACCTGGTCGAATCATGCACCAGTCTCTATTACTATACAGATACCCTCACTTCAGGCCACAACAACTCAGTGGAGACTGAACCGCCACCTCCTCCAACAGGACAAAAGTAAAACGAGACATCTGAACGCATCAACCTCTTTCTGAGAAAACACCCCAGGGGTCGATATGTTCACACAATGGGAAGCACACAAGGCAGTCATCAGGGGAGGACTCATAAAAATGGGGCTACAGTCTCAAATGTGAAAGATCACGCACCAGAAAAGATTTAATGAATAGAATTGCCGAACTAGAATTCTCAAATAAAACATCACATTCCCAGCGAGACTGCGACTCCTTACTAAAACTACGCACCAACCTAAAAATTGTGTTGAATTACGGAGCCAATCAAACGATCCTATGGACCAAACAAAAATTCTACTTCCTGGGAAACAGATGTGGGAAAATTTTAGCTAATGCCCTAAAAAAAACAAAAGACAACACTCCTACATACCCAAAATCAAAACCCCAACAGGTACACTATAGTACACACCACTATGGACATATCCCCCAACGACAAATCACCCCCAAGATAAACTCAACTACCTGACGGACAAATATGACTAAATCCTAACCCCTACAATAGCTAGATCACTAGACGAACCTATAACAGATTAAATCAATCCACACCGACAGACAAAAGCCCGGGTCCCGATGGCTCTGCCAAAACTTACTACAGGACGTTCCTCACCGAATTAGAGCATCACCTGAACGCGTTTAACACAATCTCACCCATAGTGCCCTTACCTCAATCCAGCCTTGAGGCCATGGAATCACCCTCATCCCAAAGCCAGGGAAAGACCCAGAATCATGCGGTAGCTACCCCCCAATTTCTCTCCTCAATGTCGACATGGAGTTATTCACCAAGATATTGGCAATGAGAATTCGCCCGCACTTAGGAAGCTTAATCCACCCTGACCAGGCAGGCTTTGTGCCGACAAGAGAAGCCAAAGACAACACTAACAAAATAATAAACCTAATCCATCACACGAATAGCCTCAAAATTCCATCTCTCCTATTGTCAATAGATGCAGAAAAGGATTTTGACAGGGTGGATTGGCCATTTCTCATGTCGACATTGAGGACACTGGGTTTCGGGTCACGGTGGCTGACGTGGATCTCAGCGATCTACTCAACACCCTCTGCACGACTGAAAGTTAACGGACAACTATCCCAACCATTCCAGATACGGCATGGAACCCGACAGGGCTGCACTCTATTACCCCTATTCTTCATATTCGTGTTAGAACCACTACTGCAAGCATTAAGATGCAACCATAACATTAAGGGAATCGACAGCGGGGTACACTCCTACAAAGTTTTAGCCTTTGCCGATGACCTCCGTGACAGAACCAGGAAGGTCCTTACCCCCATTAATGACAGAATTACAGATGTATAGTAAACTCTCACTTCAAGATAAATGTGGATAAAAGCGAAATCCTAAACCTTAACGTCCCCCCTAATATAGTCAAGAGCCTTCGACGTAAATTTCAGTTTAAATGGGCAGACCGACACATAACATACTTGGGTGTCAAGATTACTCCTAAACTCACAGATTTATTAACTGCTAATTACACATCCCTTCTTCATGACGTAACCAAAGATCTACTGAGGTGGAACAAACCAAACTTTCGCTGGCTAGGAAGAATAAATATCATTACAATGAATATCCTGCCTAAGATATTATACATCTCAACACAGTGCCAATAAATATCCCCACTTCCTTTTTCCGCTAAATTAAAACCCAGTTTACCAGATTTGTGTGGTTTTGTCCACCGGTTTTGTCCCCCAAATATCTAATATCCCACAACCCGGCGTTTCCGACCGAAACCGGGAACCTCCTCATACTCCAAAGACCTCACGGGACGACCAACACGTATACACAACTACATACCCTGGTTCAGGTCAACAAATTAAAACCAATTTCTGACCTCATAGCGAGCACCTTGCCATACAAATTAGAAATGTTTCACTACTCGCGCTTGCAACATTTCATACAAACGCTACCAATCCCAGACCTAGGTCTAAGAGAGGAAACTAAATTTGAACACATGTGCTTGATAGGCAACCCCACCCCCAAAAAACTATCCAAAATGCTACAAACTACTAACGCCACTACTCTACCCAAGACCTCCAGTCTATACCCGAAGCTGGAATGACCACATCTCCCCCAATCTGTCAAAGGAAGACTGGTGCCGCATTTTCCACAGGAGTGCCTCTGCCCATACCAGCATTCAATTAGTGGAGGAAAACTATAAATTGCTCGCAAGGTGGTATGTTACACCCTTAGAAACCCTAAACTTTGCTCCAGAAAGCATTGGCTTTTGCTGGTGCTGCAAGGAGGACACCGGCACACTCCAACACCTTTGGTGGCAATGCAACCTCATAACTGGGTACTGGAGGGAAGTGGGAGCCGTGCTCAAAAGGGTTACAGGTCTCCAGCTATAACTAGATATACCTACAATCCTCTTCCATGACAAAACATACCACACCACAAATACAAGTCATCATTACCATTCTTTAAACTGACGGCAGTCAAAATGGTAGTTACAGGCTTATGGAGGTCAACCACATCTCCCACCATTCAGGCGTTAATACCCAGAATAGAAGGCCTACGTATAATGGTGGAACGGAGATGATCCACAATGAGATGCCCAAACAAGTATGGATCCATATGGCAATCATGGATCATATACAGGACAACAGACCCTGAGGATTAAACAAGTCGAAGCCATGTATCCAAGTCAAGGCAGGACATGGTGAGGGCTGGCATAACATACAATAACCACTCAGACCTACTGACAGACCAACTACCAATGCCTACTTTCTGAATGGGAAAATATGCGGGACAGGGGCAAGATTGGATAAAATAATATATCAACCAGTTGCATGGTTTATGTTCTCCTTTTTATGTTACCCTCCACTATCCACAGTTATTCACCCTGCTATCTTCCCTCCCTACCCTCAACGAGGGGCTGGTTCATTATCAGAATTGCTAAACATCCAATACAAGGGAGCAGGACTACAATCCCCCCCTAGATAACACAGAGTTTTTTTCCCCTAAATAGCAACGAGATGTAAACCAAACTCCCTCCATATCTTTACCATGTCATGCTTACGGACACAAATTCGACGTGTAGAAACAGTGGAAATGTCCATAAATCAGCATGGAAGATATTGGAAGTACAAATGTCATGAATGTCATATACCAACCCTAGGTTTGTAATTAAAATAAATGTATAATACATTTTTTTTTAAATAAACACATTTATACCAGTGGTTCTTTTTGTATCGTGGTCATAATTCAAAATATGTTTCTTTTAGACTGAAGGAAGAATTTAAAAATGTCATGATAACAAGTAGAACCTCAAGGGGTGAGTCAGTGAATGCTTTGCTATCCATCAAGGCAGTAGGAAGGACGGAGCTTGACTGCCATGCTGACTAGTTACATCTTGGTGATGCTCCTGTGTTTAGCAGCTTACACAGACATACTAAATTATATTTTCATCATTTTTTCTGATCTTTTACTCATATACTACACCATATAAAATATTTTTAAGCTTATGCTTGGTGGATTTCCAAGTCACTTCTGCTACCCTTGGCTCTACAGTCTAGGTATCTAAATTGTCCCTATGGCCAAGTGATAGCTGGTACTATCTTTGTACTCAACTCAAACTGTTCATAGGTTGGTGGGGATACTCTGTATTTATACACTAATCTGTGTTTGGGCAATTAATTTAAAGGATAACAATCTTAATGATCCCATAGGAAACACTGGAAGGCTATTGTGCATGCGTGGCAAAATGCTGTACTTCGTCAATTAGCATCTCCTCATAGAGATTATTTAATCAATGCATCTCTATGGGGAACGTTCAGCACCTCCATGCAGTGAGAAAGAGGCACTGACCCAGGAAGCACCTCTAGTGACCGTCTGCATGACTGCCACTAGAGTTGTTCCTAGGCACCAATGTAAACCCTGCCTTTTCTCTGAAAAGGCAGGGTTTACATTAAAAAGCCTACAGGGACATGCTATAGATACCAAATCCACTACATTAAGTTTTAGTTGTTCTGGTGACTAAAGTGTCCTTTTACCTATTTGTGAACATGCTTCAGAACCTGAGGTTTCACAAAATGGCTATGGACTCGGATGAGAAACTGTAGGCATGGATAACTCAAAGGCTGCAGTTATTCAGAAACTCAATATCAGGAGACAAAGTGTGTGTGTGGCTCCTATCCTTCACAGAACCTACTCCAGACCATCTTTACAAACATTTTGGTTGGAGTAGGCAGTAATAATAATAATAAAAAAATCTTAGTATGGTTGTTCAAATGTTTCACCCATATATGAACATTTATTACCATATGTTGAAAGTTATTTTTTTCATGAAAGATATTACATACAAGCTATGTGTACAATTTACCACAGTCGGTTCATTTTCCATTATAATGCAGTAGCTAACATATATACATAACATTTGCTGATCTACCTGTAACTTTCTTGCCATATTCACGATTTCATTTTCCGGTGGATTGCGCTGGTAACAGTTCATAAACATTAGACGAATATCAGAGGCAAACTCATTTGTGTCTTTGTACTGTCCATTATCCATTTTATCCTGGGATGAATAGAAAGAATCATAAGTGTAAGGAGGAAAAAATGCTTGTTGGTGGAGCGTGACTTGTATACTTTATAAATGTACGAGCTACTAATCTACTTGATTGACAGACAGCTGAAGAAAGGGTTAAATAAAACATGTATCTATAAAACATAATACTAAAGTAGATTAAATGTTAAAAAGTATTGTCACTTTTTGTCACACCTGCAAAACGTTATATAGCCAACAGAAATGTAGGTTTCCTTTTCATGACAAAAAGAGGTGATGGACACACAGTCTCAATTACTGATAAACCAACTTTAACAAATAAAATAAACAAAGCGCAAGACAGCTTTTTGAAATAAAATATATGGAAGGAGCTTAGGTTGTTATGGTGCTTGGTGCCATTTAAAACATTTTGTGATTTTTTTTTTCTTTACACTGCATGGTATGCAGCATCTTCTTACAGTGTGGATAATATGACATGGAAAAAAATATAGATTGGCTAATATTATAAAACCTTTGCTCCTTTTGTTGGCCAAACATAAGTGTAATGGTCACAGAAAGCAATCTTCAAAACACAGGACATGGGGACACAAAAAAAAAAAAAAAATGGCTGGCTGGCTGGCTGATTCAAGGCTGAGTGAATGTAATGTACAGAAATGAGTGTTCCATACTCTTGGGGTTTACAGATTACCAATATGTAAATAAAAAATAATAAAAAATATTTTTAAAAATGGACACACATTTTTAAAGTCTAAACTAGGGGCTCAATGTAGATCCCCAATTCTTTTAAAAGTACAGTTCACATGATGCTTTGCTTTGGGGTAGGGTTCTACAATAAATTGATATCTACATTTATGCCATCCTTGGTGTCAACTACACAATTTCAATGATTTACAGTTTTAATGTTTTCCAATGGACTTTCAGAGATGACTGAAAACTTTACAATGAGATTTAATTTGTTTTTTTAGTTTGTATTGTTGTAGCAAGGTCTAGAAACAATGGATTCGAAAACACAAAAGCCAAACTTACTCGAATAGTTCCAAGATCCATGGAGCAGGTCATTATATCACCAGAGTCAGGCAGTCCAAAAGATGCAGGGCCTATGGTTTTGTAAAATGGCCATGCATACTCTGCATGCTTTTGCGAAAACATCTCATTAAGGGTGTGCTTACAATGTTTCATCTGTTCAGAGAGTTCCTCTCCCTTAAGAACTTGTAATTGCTGCTGAGAATCAGGAAGGTCACGCACCACTGCCTCTGACCCCCTGTATTTCTCTGTTGTAGGTGGTATATTGGCTTGCTTTGTTTCAGAGAAGGCTGGAGAAGAGTCACAGCTAGACGATATGCGTGATACACTAGGAGTTGTAGTGTCAGCCCTCCTTTTAATACCCCTTTTCTAAGATACACAAAAGTAAAATAGAACATAATTTAGAGTAGAATGTTACATAGAGGAAACAGCAAAAGTATAACAAATTATAGACCGCTTTCCAGACACTGAAGAGACGCTTTCCATGGATCAAAAAGTTCACATATGCTTCCATGAGAGCAGCATTAAAACAAACAAAAAATAATTACCTTAAATTTTGCATGACAGATAAAAGTGAGTAAAATTTACGGAAAAGATCCAAAAACAACAAACACACACACACACAAACGTGCCACTAAGAACCACAACAATGACTTACAAAAAAAACCACAAACAGCTGATATCACTGGGATATCACCAGCTATCCGTTAATTTCTACTTTTGGCCTGGTGTGTGGGAGTAGTCTCCAGAAAACACAGTAGAGCAAGGCCAATTCAGCAGTTAATAAAGTACACAAATCAAGAATAAATTTACTTTGTTTTAACAAATTACGGAAACAGCTTCAACATAATTGCACTGAAATCATTAACTTTTCATGATGCACATGATTTACTTACCTTAGTCACTGGATTGGAGCAAACAACTTGAGTTGGTTTGACAATAGTCAATGGGATAAGGGCTGTCCGTTCTGGCAGCATTGAAACTATTGGACGTGGAAATGGGTTTCGATGCATCATTTGAGATCCTAGCTTTTTCTTTGGAGCCAGAATAAGCTCCTTATAGGTCTCTGTTAATAAAAAAAAAAAACTACAATAAAGTATTAAACAATATTTTTTTTGTTTTGTTTAACATTAAATTAACACTTTTTTCTTACATAAAGATAGGTTTTGAATTTGATCAGTTGGCCAACCCCTCTTATGTTCAGTAATAAACATATAGTCTAGGAATGTTTTTCTTTATATGGAAATAAGCCGGCTGTCATGGTCCATATTGGTACCCAGTGGCGGCTCTAGACTTTGTGAGGCCTTAGGCGAAACTCAAACACGAGGCCCCCCACTAACACCCAAAGTAAAAAAAAAAAAACTAAACATGTTGCATTGTGTGTATAAGGTGCTGTAGTTGTATTGAAGGACAAGCTTGCAGCGCTGGATACAGAGCGTTAGTCTCTGTATACATTGTTCAGAGGCTTGCAGTGTCGCGGCTCCCTTTGCCACGGCATTGTGAGCTCTCTGACAGTAGTTATGGCATAAAACTAAACTAATTTGCAATAAACAAATTTAATCAGGAAGTATGTTAATCGTTTATACATGACTGAGGGGTATGGTTACATGGCCTTGCAGTCGTGTATACATAAGTGCCGGTGTGTGTATTTCTGAGTGTATTTGGCATTGTCTACCTGTGTGTGACAGGGTTTGGGGTGAGTGTTGCACAGTTGGAGGACAGGATTGTAAGGGTTTATGTGGTAGGGTGAGTGTGGTAGGGTGAAGGGGGGGTGAGTGGGACAGACTGATAGAGGATGAGTGTTACAGGGTTGGGGGGTGAGTGTGACAGTGCAAAAGAAGGTGAGTGACAGGATTAAGGGGGGGTTAATGTGATAGGGTAAGTGTGGCAAAGCAAGTGCAGGTGAGTTTGGTATGGTTGGATGAGAGTAACAGGATTAAGAGGGGTAATGTGAGTTGGCTGGGTGTAGGGAGTGACAGTGTGTGGGGACTGAAAGTGTTTGGGAATGGTGATAGTGTATGTGTAGGGGGTGACAATGTGTGTGAAAGGGGTTGTCAATTGTGTGGTAATGATAGGGTATGGGTGGAGCATGACAAGGTGAGCGGAGGAAGGCTGTGATAGCGCTTGTGTGTGTGTGCAGGGTGTGTGTGTGGGGAGGCTGTGGGGTGACAGGGTGTGGTGGGGGCTCTGATAGGGTGGGGAAGCTGTGACATAGTAGGGGGCACTGTGACAGGGTAGGAGGGCTGTGAGAGGGTGGGGGTGATGGGGGAGCCCTGAAAGGGAGGGTGGGGGGGTCTGTGACAGGGCAGGGGATGGTAGGGGGCTGTGACAGGACATAGGGCAATGAAAGGGTAGGAGGTGGTGGGGGTCTGTGTCAGGGTAGGAGGGGGGGCTGTGACGGGTGGGGAGGCTGTGACAGGGCAGGTGTGGTAGAGGCCTGTGACAGGGAAGGGAGTGGTGGGGGGCTGGGGCAGAGGGGGATGTGAAAGAATAAGGGGTGGGGAGCTGAGACTGTGACAGGGCAGGGGGTCATATATACCTTTATAATTCCCTGGTGGTCCACTGGGCAGGCTGTATTCCTGGTGGTTTGGTAGGCAGGCTGTATCCCTGGTGGTCCAGCGGGCTCCCTATACGGTCTGCAGCTCAGCCGGGTACAGAGCTGCAGACCATGTGGTAAGTCTTGCGATTTCCAGTCAGAGCATTGCTGTGGTAACCCTTGGCAACGCTCTGAATGGCTGAGATAGCGAGACACCTGACCCAGCAGAGCTGCAGACTGGAGGCTGGCTCTTTCCCGGGCAGGAGTGTGGAGGGACCTCGCATAAAGGGCAAGCCCCCGGGCCCTCTCCTATGTCGGGCCCTCAGTCTCTGACCGAGGACCAGTCATGTCACACAAGAAATTAGGAACTTAAGAGGAGGACCTACAAGATGGTTGTCACAGAACAACTTATCACATTGGGCCCCTATGTAACTCTCCTTAAATTGTCGTTAAACTACCGAACACAGCCCACCCCCTTTATGCGAGGGTCACAGAAAACCCTTAACTCAAGTGCTCTCTCTGACTGGCCGCCAACTGTATAACCAAAACACGTGCTCCAGTGAATGGCGGCCATTTTGTCCTTCGAACGCAGGCAGAGGACTTGGTCGTTCAGTGCGTGGAACTTTACTTCGGACACTGTGCATTGCGAACCCCGGGAAAATCTTACTGCTGACTGCTCTGTCCCCAGACAGGGAGACCATTCGATCCCTATGAGCCAGGGGAAGCCTTCGGCTACAATTGTATAGGAACTCCCGAAAATTGACCGGCCGCTACCTCTTTTCTTATGGAACTATTTTGGGCAACAGCCACGTGTGCGGTCGGTCAAAACTTTACCCCGGTGGCGATTCAGCTATACTACATGTATCTGAGCACTATTTAACAACTTGGGCGCTCAGATCAAGGCTATCTGGGGATACCATACTTCTGGGGGTTCCTATGTCTTATATGTTTTTTGGGGTGGTTTGTTGTAAAATATTGTACCTCTAATGCCTGGGAAATAATTAGTTTAAGTAAAAGTACACACACTTATCCCCCAGACACAGAGACCTGGGCGGGGTTACTATTGTATTGTATGGAGACCCCATGCTGGGGGTCTGTGTATATAAGCAAGCAACTTGGCCTTAATAAAACAGTCCTTCTTGAACCCAATATGACTGGTTGTGTCCAATATATTGGAGGAATTTCTATATGGAGTGGGAGAGGTATAACGAGCGAAGAAAGGAAGGAATGGCGACATTAGCCTTGCAACCTTTGACACTGGTGTAAGAAGCGGGATCCTCCATACAACACAAGTACAGCAAAAGGTTCCAGCGGAAAAGACAGCGACAAGGATGGCAGAAAGCTACAGGCAACCAACTGTAGTAGCCCTACAGAAACTACTGACTGAGAAGGGACAAGATCCAGCGGGAATGAAGAAACCCAAGCTAATTGTGGCCCTGGTAAACCTGAACCAATAGGAATTGTCCGGCCCTGCCAGCGACACACCCCGCTCCCCGGCACCCCAGACAGCACTAGATTAGCTCTCCAGACGGGTTAGAGAACGTACAACCACAATAAAAAAGGGGAAAGTATGGGTAGCTGTGAATGCTCAAACACCTGAGTGGAATCCCTAAAACGCCACTCCAATTGCATCCAATATATTGGGGGAATTTCTATATGGAGTGGGAGAGCTAGAACACTAATAAGTACATCTGGAACTAGGACTAGCGCAGAAGGGAAGGAACGGTGACATTAGCCTAGCAACCCTTGACATTTATCTCCTCCCCTTTAGAAAAGATGACCAGGGTCTACCTTAATGGGTAGGCCCGTGGGCGGCTGTAAATCGTTAGTTTATACATCTGATTGTCGGGACAATCCGTCGGCATGTTGGTTGTCCTTCCCAGGCCTGGTACTGAATCATAAAATTAAAGGGTTGGAGTGCTAAGCTCCAACATAGCAGACGTCCATTATCCCCCGCCACCCTATTTAGCCAAATTAGGGGGTTGTGGTCAGTGAGGATGGCAAATTCTCTTCCGTAGAGGTAGGGTTGGAACCTTTTGAGTTCCCACTAAAGCCAGGTACTCCGTTTCAATGTCTGCATATCCTACTTCACGGTCTACAATAGTCGGCTTTGGTAGGCTACCAGGTGCTCCTCTCCATCCTCATTCACCTGACTCAATACTGCTCAGAGTCCGTACATGAAAGCATCTGTATGGAATAGAAAATGCTTGTTAAAATTTGGAGCGGCTAGAACAGGAGCTTTTCCCAGAGCAGCTTTTCAGGGCGAACTGGCACTTAGGGGAACACAGGACCGTCCAAGGTAGGGATTTCTTAATCAGATCCATCAGGGGCTTGGCAGTCTCACTATACTGGGGCCGAACTTGCAGTAGTACCTGGCTGTTCCCAAGAAGGCTAATACCGGCTTCTTGGTTTGGGGTACAGGCCAGTTGAGAATGGCCTCTATCTTTGGGTCTGGACGCTGTTTCCCACTCCCCACTTGGTGTCCTAAGTATTGGATTTCAGCCATTCCTATTTTGGCATTTGTTGGGCGTATGGTCATCCCTGCCTGTCGAATTTTATTTAAGACCGTACTCAGGTGTTGCAACTGCTCTCCCCAAGAAGCACTAAAGATGACTAAAACATCGAGGTAGGAACATGCAAAATCCTGTAGTCCAACGAGTAGTTGGTCTACCAACCTCTTGAAGGTAGCGGGGGCATTCATCATCCCGAATGGCATGACCGTAAGTTGGATTTGGGAATTGCGTCAGCAGTCAGGGGGATCTGCCGCGCTAGAGAGTTGATCAAGTAGCTCATCTACCCTGGGCATGGGATAGGCATCGTTAGTGGTTCTTTCGTTGAGCCGCCTATAATCGGAACCGGGTGGTTCCGTCCTTTTTGAGTATCAACACTACAGGGAAAGCCTTTTCTTTGGAGTTCCTGGTGGATATTTCCTCTGACAGCCTCTGGCACCATGTGTGTCGGTTGGCAGAGGGGATTTTGACCGGGGTCTCAACTGCATGGTGGGCTAATGTGGTAGCGCCGGGCTGAGCGGAGAAATATTGGGGGTTGTTCCTACGCTTGGAGTTGGGACTGCTCTTCGGGGCTAAGCGGAGTTCCCAGCTGAACCAGGTTTTGCCTAGTAGGTCTGGCATTGCTCAGTCCCCTGTGTCTGACAGCTATATCGGCTGCACGTTCCAGGTGTGCCTTAAGCACGTTGATATAACATATGCGTCAGGTCTGTCCCTGGGCACCCTTGGCTATCACATATGTGGTCTCCCCGCTGCTTTCTACAACCTCGTTGCTGATGTCGGAGGGGTGAGCAGACGTCGGCGGGGCAGGAGAGTAAGGTAAGTAATAAGGTAAGTTGCTGAAGGGGTTTTAATGCCTTCAGCGCCACGGGAGGGGGACCCTGAGGTTGGGGGCACCCTCAGGGCACTATAGTGTCAGGAAAGCCGCTTGGTTTTCCTGACACTATAGTGATCCTTTAAGACATTTTTATATCACAGAATTAGAAATAAAGAACAAAAAACTTTTTTCATAAAAGAACCAAGAAAGCACAAATATCTTTTGAAATGGTTTATTATGTCAATATTGTTTTATATAAGATGTCCCAGCATATGTTATGTTACATTTTTTTCTACCAAAATTATGTGATTAATTGGCAATGTAATAGATAGGTATATAAGAACCCCCTTATACCATACAATGCATACAGTCTCTGATGAAGTAGGGCTATATCCCTACGAAACGCGTTAACAATCAAAGGATCAGACAAAGCACAGCTATTTGCCAGCCAGGATCTATTTGCAAGCACCTCTATCCACTTCGGATTCCGGACCAGTTACAAGCATCATCCCGTGAGAACAGCGCTTACCCCTCAGAGTGAGGTCCGAGGTGGAACACACTGTGACACGCATGCTGTCCTCACCGGCGGTCGGGATCCAGAGGACAAACTTAACAGTATCCTCACCTATCACGGTCTAGGATTAAGGTTTTCTTGATATTTCTACCTCCAATAGACTGGTTACTATACTGTGCATTGATTTTTATCTTAGTTTTTAAAGTTTTGATAAACTGGTTTTTATTTAGATTTCCAGTTGTTTCCCTCACTTTTTAGTGATTTAGTGAGATTTTTTTATATTGCTTTTTAGCAATTACATGTGGACACTATCTTCATCTTTTATTCTTATGAAAGTATATTATTTGGTACTTGTACCATTCACCCTGTAATGCTTTTACAATCAGGGATAGGGATACCTACACCGCATATATTTTATTTGGACATCATAGTATCATATAGTTTTATATCTTTCTGTTTTATATAGTTTTTATATCACCTTTTTATTTATTTTTTTACATAATTTATTATATCATATTAATCTAATATTCATCCAATCTACTAATTAGCTCCTGGATACCCCGCACTATATTATATAGTGTAATTTGCACTACTACAGTTGGTTGCCTGTAGCTTTCTGCCATCCTTGTCGCTGTCTTTTCCACTGGAACCTTTTCCTGTACTTGTGTTGTAAGAAGGATCCCGCTTCTGCACCAGTGTCAAGGGCTGCAAGACTAATGTCGCTGTTCCTTCCTTCCTCCGCTAGTCCTCGTTCCAGATGTGCTTAGTAGTGTTATAGCTCTCCCACTCCACATAGAAATTCCTCCAATATATTAAACACAACCAGTCATATTGGGTTCAAGAAGGACTGTTTTATTAAGGCCAAGTTGCTTGCTTATATACACAGACTCCCAGCATGGGGTCCTCATACAATAGTAACCCCACCCAGGCGTCTCTGTGTCTGGGAGAGAAGTGTGTGTACTTCGCTTAAACTAATTATCTCCCATGCACTAGAAGTACAATATTTTACAACAAACCACCCCAAAATACATATAAGACAGATATAAGACAGAGAACCCCCACAAGTTGTCCAAATAGCGTTCAGATCCATGTAGTATAGCCGAATCGCCACTGGGGTAAAGTTTTGACCGGCCACACACGTGGCTGTTGGCCAAAATAGTTCCATAAGAAAAGAGTAGCGGCCTGTCAATTTTCAGGAGTTCCTATACACCTGTAACTGAAGGCTTCCTTTTCCCCAACAGCGCTCTCCTGGCTTGTCGGGGGACAGAACAGGCAATGGTGTGATTTTCTCGGAGTTCACGAGGCACCGTGTCCTAAGTATAGTTCCACGCTCTCGACAACCAAGTACCGCTGCCTGCGTTCGAAGGACAAGAGAGAGAACTTGTGTTAAGGGTTTTCTGTGAAGTTAACGAGCCAGGGGGTGTGCTGTGTTCAGTAGTTTCACAGTACCGAGCTCAAGGGAACAAATGGGTACGACAATTTAAGGAGAGTTACATTGGGGCCCGATGCGATAAGTCATGGCTTCCAAATAGGGGCGTACCTGGAGCATTTGGCACCTGGGGCGGATCCTTTATTTGGCAACCCCACCCCCCCAAATTTTTTTAATGTATTTAGCATTGAGCAGTATTTGTATATTTTTAATGTAAGCATGTTTTTGTATGAAATACGTGTGAGTGAATGTACGGGTATGTTTGCACATATTGACATTTGAATGCAGGCGTGCATTTTTCTGTAGTGTGGTTTTTGAATATGGTGGTGTGTGTTTATGTAGTGTTGACATTTGGATGCAGGTTTTTATTTGTGTGTAGTGTAGATGAAATGCTGAGATGTATGCACATGTACACATATACACACACTGGCGCACACACACACACAGATACCCAGACACATAGGTACACACATACAGTTACATAGAAACACAGTCATACACAGATACAGACAAATACTGACACACATACAGATACAAACACACATACAGACACACAGATACAGATAGACACATACAGATACACAGACATACCGAAACAAACACAGTCACACAAACAGATACACAGACATACAGATACACATGTATAAGTGTGTGATTGCTTAGTGAATGTAGTGTTTTTGCATAGTGGATGCAGTGCGTGCGTTTGTATAGTGAATGAAGTGTATGCAGTGTGTGTATGGAGTGTATGCAGTGTGTGTATAGTGTATGGAGTGTGTGTATAGTGTATGGAGTGTGTGTATAGTGTATGGAGTGTGTATATAGTGTATGCAGATGCAGTGTGTGTTGTGTGGAATAAGTGCTGGGAAGGTGAGCAGTGTGTATGGTTTGCCCCTCCCCCTCTCCCTGACACTTACCTGTCCCTCCCGTCCTCCTTGACGGTGGGCCCAGAACTCTGCACGCAAAATGCCGCCCCTGTGAAAGTGCGCCCCCCCCTAGTAAAAGTTAGCAAAGTTAGCATTCATGTTTGCTGTGTGTGAAAAATGCTAAACTAAATTGAATGCTGATTTTGGCCAGTGTTTGTGACTAAGTGGCTACAAAAAAAAAAAAAACCTGAACATACCCCATTTGCAATACCTTGGGTTGTCTACTTTTGAAAATGGTATGCCATCATGGGGGTAATTCTCTATCCTGGGCTACCATACGCTCTCAAAGGCAACATAACCAATCTGGCAAATTTCAATGTGAAAAAAAGGAAATTCAAGCCTTATATTTGACTCAGTAACTTTTGAAAAGACTATTATGCTGCCTGCCGTAGTTTAGGACCGCCCCAAAAAGGACGGCATAGAATGCCCGCTGTCCTTAAGGGGTTAAAGGTATAATATTTAAAATTTTATTTTTAACAACAATATAACTAGCATGAATCAACATGGTTTTATGAAAGACGGGTCATGCCATACTAATAGTTCTATGAAGAAATTGGTAGAAACATGGATTGGGGTGTTCTAGTGTATGTGCTCTACTTGGATTTTGCCAAGGCATTTGATACCGTTCCACACAAAAGGTTACTATTAAAACTGAAATCACTTGGTTTATATGAAAAACCATGTTCTTGGATAGAACACTGGATTAAAGATAGAGTATAAAGAATAGTTTCAAATGGAAATTTTAGAAAATGGACAAATGTGGTAAGTGAAGTGCCTCAGGTTTCTGTCCTGGTTCCACCTAATTGGTTTATAAATGATCTTGAAGTGGGTATTGAAAGTAATTTTTCACTGTTTGCAGATGACACAAAACTAGGTAAGGTAATACAGTCTGAACATGATATAACTTCTCTATAGAAGGATTTAGATATTTTAGGAAACTGGGCAGGCAAATGGCAGATGAGATTCAATACAAATAAATGCAAAGACACACATTTTGGAATAAGGAACCCACAAGCCACTTACACATTAAATGGAGGTGAGCTGGTGATAAGATCAAATGAAAAGGACTTGGGAACAATTATTGAGAACAAACTAGGCAGCAGTCTGCCACTGCGAAAGCTAGTAAGGCTATGTTTTTAAAGGGGTATTGATTCATATGATCATAAAAATTTTTTTGCCTCTTTTGAAATCAATCGTAACACCCCACCTTAAATATGCGGTGCTGTTTAGGGCCCCAGTTTTAATAAAGGATACTACAGAACTAAAAAATATGTAGCAACAATTTACAAAATTAATAAGAGGGATGATAAAGGCTAGAAAACCTACATTAGTTTTCTTTACAGACAGAGAGAAAAAAAAAAAAAAAAGTCTCAGCAGAGGGGATATGATAACACCATACAAATATATATACTGGGTCAGTACAAACTGCTATGTGCTAACCTGTTCAAAAGCAGGAATATACAACAAGCAAGAGTTCACGCACTGACACCGGAAGAAAACAGCAGAGGAAAGGGCTCTTCACAATAAGAACAATAAAGATGTAACATTATCTACCTAAAGAGATTGTATTACAAAAATAGCCTGGATGTTTTCCAGCAAAAACTGAATATTCAAGGATAGAGATATATATATATATATATATCCTTGAATATTCAGTTTTTGCTGGAAAACATCCAGGTTATTCAATCGAAGAAGAAATCAGTGTTTTCCATTTTTGAGGTATTATTGGAAATTTACATTTTTTTTTTGTTAATCCTGGCAGGTAATTATTGCAGTTTATTAAAACTGCATTAATTACCACTGCATGTTTAAGGGACATAGAACACTGTACCCAGACTACTTCAGTGAGCTGAAGTGGTCTGGGTGCCTATGGTGTCCCTTTAAAGGTTGGAAAAAAAAATGGACTATAGTCTTTTTTTCTTCCCCAAACTAGATTACTATGTAACCTAACGAAGACAAGTTCAAATAAACACACAATGGTTATATAATATGAAGATTATGTATCATATTGTTCGAATAAACTCTGCATTTTAGTGAAAGACTGCAGGGAAAGACCTGAAATAAAATCAACTCTGATACTGATTTGAAATCAGAAAAGTATTTGTATTGGCTGTATGGTAGTTATAGTCACTAAGAATTCAACTGGGATTTAAATTATGGTCAAGCATCAGCGTCAATGTGCAGATGGGTAAAATGGCAACTACCTGGAACAATTTAAGTACAAATTAAGCATGTCCCTCCACATATATTCTTGAGCATTCTATAAATAATTTATATTTTAAAAAAATATATACATATATCTTCTCCAAAACAACCATATTGGTATTCAGACAAAACCAAAATTGGTAACAATATCCATTAACAGAAAGTAACCCACTGATTGAATAAAAAAGGAAAATGGATGAAAAAAAACAAAACAAAACTATTCTGCTGCAAACAATGCCAGCACATCTGCACAGATAACACAGTCACTCACAAAGAGAAGGCCTACAATGCTAAAGGATTATACGTTTGAACATTATCTTTTTTTTTTTTTTTCCTACACTAATTATCCCTGCATATAACAGCTTAGATTTGGATTGCATACTTCATTTTGTTACAAAATGATTTGGAGTGGTCTTCCAAAAGCTTCAAAATTATGCCACTTCCCAAAAAAAAAGTAGAGGAATTTAACGTTTATGTCATTAAATAAACCAAAGTAAAAAGGAAATGTTTCCTTTTACATTACATACACACAGATGAAAAAACAATAACGAATTAAACAAATTAACTACTGTAAATCCTATCATTTACTTTAGCCCATGGATTGTCAACCTGGTCCCTACTGCCCACTAGTGGGCGGTTTGGGATTTCAGGTGGGCGGTGGTGGATTCTGCATAAAACGCCCGGCGGGCCTCGATGGCCGTGGACCAATGCCGGCAGGGGAGATCCCCCTGCAGGCCCATGCAGAGCCAGCCTTTCTGTAACTCTTTTGAGCTGGTGAGGAGATCAAAGATCTTCCTCACCAGCCCGCTGGCAGAGGGAGGGAAGGGCCTGGGAGGCTCTGTGTTAATCCTGCGAGCAGGCTGGTCAGAGCATCGCCACGTATTATCAAGGCAACTCTCTGATACAGTGCTGTGCTCGCAGGAGGACAGGAGAGTTAGCTCACAGCCGGAGGAACTGCAGGCAAAGTGAACATGCAACCACTGGACAACCAGGGCTTGCAGCATTATGTCCCCCCTTCCTGCTAAAAGGTAAGAAGAAGGCAGGGGGTGATATTAAGATAGATTTTCACATCTCACCCACCTACACACAGCATAGACCCTATGCACCCTTCACATATATTACACCCCTCACACACACACACACACACACACACAGCTCAATCACACACACTACACCCCTCACACACACACTGCTCCCTCAAACACACTGCACCCCTCACTCAGACTGCACCCTACACACACACACAGCAACTCTAACACACACACTCTGCACCTCAACACACACTGTCCCCCCTCACAGACACACAGCACCCTTCACACTCACACACTGCCCGCAACTCACACACACGGAAAAAGTAGAATAGAAAACAGAAAAAAAGGAAAAAGAAATAGATACATTTAAGTACATTTTTTATTTTTTGTTAAAAACCTCTCCTATCTAGAAAAAAAAAAAATCACACATAAAATTAGTTATGTGTGGCACTGGTGGGCAGTAAGGACATTTTACCATCAACATAGATACAAAAGTGGGCGGGAGGTATTAAAAGGTTGACTACCCCTGCTTTAGCCCCTTACCGGTTTTACCTCCTGCAGGTGAATTTTTTGTTTTACTACCACGGTTTCTGGCTACAGATAATTCTGTATCTTCATCTGGCATTTCGGCAAGCTTTTGCATAAATATTTTTTCCAGTTCTTGCGCCATCAAAACAATATCATCTCCAGGCTGCAATAAAGAACAGAGAATGCGCTAATAGGGAAAGAGGAAAACACCACTGTACAAATAATAGTTCATTATCCTGACATATACAAAACATATATTATATGAACGCCTACAGTAATACAGTTTATAGAATATGATCATTTAACAGATTAATGGTTTGTCATTGTGCAACGTCATTTTAAATGTATATGGCCAATAGGAAACCCTAATCAGGGCTGGGTTTACAAAACGGATGCGGTGGGCAAGCGCCCCTTGCTCCCACCTCCGCCCCACACACAAATAAGAGAGTTAATTTAAGTGGACACAAAGCCTAAAAGTCATATATCACAACTGCATAAGTATGTATGTATGTGCACATATTTATATAGTTCTGTTTGTAATGATTAATGTATGTGTAAATGCATGCAGCATTAAAGATATTAGAAGTGGTTAGAGTAAAGGGGACTTATAGATTAGAGAGGGGTTAACATCAGAGTTATTTACTAAAGGGAGAATTATCAGGATGTGAATTTCAGCTTCAATTGTTTCATTGTGCTCAAGGGGGCATGTAGATGGGCTGATGGGTTTTCCCGCCAGAAGCAATGCTTCCAGTTTATTTGGCATTAAAGCACCCATCTGATTTGCTTTTGGCTTTTCTTTCTCTGTGTGCCTGGTATCTTAATCGTTATACTCCCTCCTTTGTCACTTGCTTTTATTTATTAGTTTTTTGTTTTCAATATTATACCGGATCTTAATTCCTGGGCACAGTCATTTTCATCAACTATGCCCATGATGTCAGTTTGCCCTTCTGTAGGATTGATTTTACAGATGGATTATGGATATATGTTACTGGCTTCTGAAATGGAAGCTTGCCTTTAACCCATGGTCACATTTTGTCAACTTGACTGCTATACTAAGTAATTACATGATTTTGCTATTACATGACGAAAAGTCATGATTTTATTAAAGACACGGAGGCGAGTATTGCATATCCCTTTCTTTACTGTCGACCAACAGCAGCAAAGGATACAAACAGAATGAAAAAATAATGAATATTCAGTAACATAAACCCCTCCCAGATCAAGTCCCTATATAACATACAGCATCCCCTTCCCAAAATCCTCTTTCTGGAGATGCGACACTTAAAACAGTCCAGAACATGAACAACAGGACAACTCCGGATCAAACCAAAGGATCATCACTCCAATAGCCGAAAAATCAAATCTGGATGACGACAAAACAAACTCCATCCCCAGGAAAACTTACATGCAGAAGACTTGACATGCCATCGATCCAATTCAGGCTGTGAAAACACAAAGAACAGGAGCCCAAGGGTTAAACCAGTACTTGAGACCAACATCAGGGCCAGTCAAAGCAGAGCCCCACATACATCCCCAAAATAACATAGAAAACCTAAACCCTCAGCCACTAAACAAAGCCTACCCTGTAATATAGGCCCCAATTACCATACCCACGAGTTCGCACATGTCTCAATACATCAATGACAAACAGGGTGGGAAAAACAAGAGAGCATAAAGTGAGAATTACAATGCGGGTGGGACAATACTTGCCTCCGTGTCTTTAATAAAATCATGACTTTTTGTCATGTAATAGCAAAATCATGTAATTTTATCACAAGACACGGAGGCTCATATTGCAAGCTGACTTACTACCGCAGCGAACAGTCAGCCGAAAATAAAATTCCCGAAAAGTAGATTCCCTCGACCAGTCTGCCATCTTCACCAGATCCTCCAGGCGTGCTCCTGAAGCCATAATTGAGGAGGCCAAAGCCCCCCTAACCGAGTGCATGCCAAAGAGCGTAGTATTGACACCGGCTTGAGCCAGTAGCCACTTCACCCAGCTTGACAGCGTGGTGCTGGTGACGAGGGCAAAAGGAGGACGTAAAGATAGAAACAGTTGAGGAGAGGACTAGCTTGGTTCGATTCTCATATTCGCGTAAGCAAGTCACCAGACACAACTCCGGATTAGTCAGGAAACTCGGATAGGACACCGACTTAATAGACGTCTTAGTACGCCTACTGATGTTGAATGTCACTCCCTCTGGGGTGTAGGATCTGGCATCAAAGTCCAAGGCTCGGACGTCCAAGACCCTCTTGCAGGAGATGAGGCAGAACAGGCAAACCAATTTGGCCGATAACTGCCGTAAGGAGAGAGAAGCGTTATTGAGACAGGCCATGAGCAGCAACAATACAGTTGAAACGTCCCAGGTAGCAGAGTAGCAAGGCATAGGAGGTTGGGAGAGGCGAGAGCCCCTGAGGAGTCTACAGACCAGGGGGTGTTGGCCCGCAGGCACACCCTGGTGTGTCGAAGAGATGGCCGATCGGTAGAGGTTGATGGTCCGATAGGCCTTATCTGCCTCGAAGAGGGAAGACAGGAATTGGAGAATCATGGTCACAGGTGCTGAAACGGGATCCACGTCCCTAGCCAGGCACCAACCAGCCCAAGCTCGCCAAGCTGACCCATATGCCGTCTAGTGCCGGGTGCATATGCGCCTGCCAACAGGTGTCTAGTAGTCTCCAAAACTCTGTGAATCTCCCAGGGTCCCCTGAAATCCGCCAGGTTAGGACGGGAAGGGAGCCCTCCGACAGGAGGGGGTGACAGCATCCCGTCAGATCCCGCAGAAGTTTCTGGAAGGATGGCAATAGCCTGGGGTAGTTCACTGTCATCTCGATAAGTTGAGGGAACCAAGACTGCGTCTCCCAGAATGGTGTTACCAGGACTACCTCGGCCAGATGTCTGCGAGAGTGTAGGAGTGTGCGAGGTATCATGGAGAATGGGGGGAAGGCTTACAGGAGGTCTCCGCGCCAGTCTTGCAGGAAGGCGTCCACTGCCTTCGCCGAACGGTCTGCAGCAGAAGAACCGGGGAAGTTGGGCATTGAGCCTTGATGCGAATAGGTCTATAGCAAAAGGCCCCCAAAGAGATGACACAGTGGAGAATACGCCTGTGTCCAATTTGCAGTCGCTGGGATCCGAGAGATACCGTGAACTTCAATCCGCCTGGACGTTGTGCAGACCAGGTAGATACTCCGCCTGGACCACCAGGTTCCGTTCCAGGCAAAATTCCCAGAAGTCCTTCGCCAGGCCTGCCAGGATCGCCGACTGTGTTCCACCCATGTGGTTGACATATCTTACTGCAGACACGTTGTCCATGCGGAGCCGAATGCAAATCCGCGCTCGGTCCCTCGCAAAGCTGCGGATCGTGAACGAGCCTGCCAAGAGTTCCAACGCGTTGATGTGGAGTCGGGACTCTGAGTCTGACCACCGACCCCCAACTGACACCCTCTCGCAGTGGGTCCCCCAACCATGGAGGCTTGCGTCGGAGTCGATGGTGAATTCCGGCAGCGAGCCGAAAATCGCCCCTTCGGTTCCAACCAGATAGGCTGAGGATCCACCACCGCAGCTCGTCCCTTGTCTTGCTGTCCAGTAATACCAGGTCTCTCAGGTTGGTTAATTTCAGGCGCTGAAGAGCGCGGTAGTGGAACGGGCCCAGGAACGCTGCTTGGATGGACGATGTTAGCAGGCCGATAAGCCGAGCCAACTGGCACAAGGTGAGTTGCGGACGGGTGAGGGCCCTACTGAGTTCCTTGCGGATAGACCGAATCTTGTTTGTCGGAAGGCTCAGCGTCACCTCTGTCGAGTCCATGAGGAAACCCAGGAACTCCATGCGAGTGGCTGGGGTCAGGCAGGACTTCTCCCAGTTGATAAGGAACCCCAGGTGGGAAAGATCTATGGTCTGCCGAAGATGCGTAAGGAGGATGGAGTGATCCTGGGCCATGAGCAGGATGTTGTCCAGGTAAACTATTAGTCGGATGCCCCGACTGCGCAGCCAGGCCATAGCTGGGCGCAGCAGCTTCGTGAAGCACCATGGTGCTGATTCTAGGCCAAAGGGGAGACAGGTAAAACGCCAAATCTCGTCCCGCCATTGGAAGCGAAGCAGGACTCGGGACGTCTCGGCCACTGGCACCGTCAGGCATCCTGCAGGTCCAGCTTCGCCAGTCAGTCCCCGTGAAGGAGTAGGTCTCACAACAGGTGAATACCTTCCATCTTGAAATGGCAGTATCGAGTGGGTGTAGGTTTATGACTGGGTGTAGGTTTATGACTGGGCGCATTTGACCGCCCTTCTTTTCCACCAGGAAAATATTGCTTAGAATGCCTGGAGGGCCACGAGGGGCCAGTTCTATTGCTCCTTTGGAGAAAGAGTGGATAGCTTGTCGATCAATCTGCGATTCTGCAGGGATGGACAGATCGGTCGAGGAGCGGGGATACTTACCTGGTCCCCTACAAGTTCTATCCAAAACCCACGGATAGTGTCCCATATCCAAGCGTCGTAAGTTATGGCCGACCAAGATGGGAAAAAATTTCGGAGTCTGCCCCCTACACAAACATGAGCAAAAACATGAGTTTTTGGTAAACTCACCATATGGGCACCTGGAACCGGTGCTTCCACGGAAACCTCTGGATCGCCACGGACATCCATGGGACTGGAAGAACAGAGAGCGGGTATTGGCCTCCTGGTAGTTGGAGCGTTGTTGGTAAGAGCCTCGTCCCGAGCCACGGGACTGGAAATAGGGACGGCCGGACAGACGGCTCCTGGATCTGCCGGCCCTGGTGGAGACCCGCCTCATGGAGGCCTGTGCCTTGTCAAGGGCTGTAAATGCCCCACGAAGCGACCTAAGTCCTTGATGAAGGAGTCGCCAAACAATAGGCCTTGGGCGTCCTTGCCAGCTTCCGTGAGAGCCATGTTTGCCAATTTCGGCTCAATTTTGAATAGGATGGCCTTATGCCACTTCATAGAGAGGGAGGCATTGACACTCCTCGCAATGCAAATTGCTCTCTGGACCCAACCCCGCAGGTCTTCAGGGTCAACCATGCGTTATCTAGCTCTGATGTCTTCCGCCAGGTCAAAGAGCTCCGCCAGTGGCCCAAAGATGTCAAGATGTTTGTCCTGGCATGACTTAAAGGCCGAGTCTATACCCTTGCGTGGGTTCCAACCCAATTTAGTCAAGAATTGGATCATCTTGGGATCCACCTCAGGAGTATCATACACCTTGTTAGGCACTACCGACCTGGGACACTCTGCTCTCAATTTATTGCGGGCCGTTTTACTGAGAGGGCGGCGAACCCAGGTCTCTAGATATTTAGCGACATGGTCCTCTGGAAGTCACTCTGCCGACTAAGGATGGTGAAGCTCATCCGGGTTGAAAAGAGGTTCGCCCAACGGATCCATGAGGGCGGACCCCGCAATAGCGGGGTGAGTCACCCCTGAATCCCCTCCAGACATCTCTGCCTGAGCACAGAAAAGGAAGTCAAAACCCTTCTCAACTGCATCAGTATCTGTCTCAGCCATGGTTTCCTCACTAGACCCGATTTCAGAGTCGGAGTCGCTCTCAGGTTCTGCTCTAGCATTCTGCCTGGCGCGGAAAGGCTCTCTTGCGTGGAAGGGACACTCTTTCTGAGGCGACCATAGGTACGCCAGTCTTATGGGTTCTGGAGGCAGAGGGAGCGGAGTGTTTAACCTTTTGGGTAGCCTTCCTGGGTGTCTCTTCAGGTGGGTCCATACAAGGACGCAATTGAGGAGCCATGCAGCCCACATTCTGCGCGTCCATAGGACGTGGAAACAGTGCCTGGGATATAGTGTGGGAAAGGGTGGAAGACATGGACCCCATGGCTGCCATAATGGCTTCTGTCACAGAGCGCTGCAGCGCCAAAAATTGGGCCCCCTCCAAGTGGGTGGGCATGTCTGTCAAGGTGGGTGCAGCCTCTAAAGAAGCAGGAGTCTCACCCAGGACTAATGAGGTATCTAACTCCTCAGATGGGGGAGAACCGGAAGGCAGCCTGGGCTTAGGCATGAATCTCTGATAACTGGAATAAAGTTGCAGTAGGGTTAGTCACCCAGACTGTAACACACAGCAAAAATATGAGTGATCTCACCACGGCCCAGACCAGTGTAACACACATGAGGCAGGAAGGGTACACAAAGGAGGGGAGGAGAAAACCGGAAAGATGCAGGCTCTGAACTCGCAAAGATCGCAAGAGCAGAGAAACTGCAAGAAATGGAAACGAATATAAAACTGCCGAACAGAACAAGTGGTACACGAATGTCACGCGTTTGTGTGTTGAATGGTAAATAAGCAGTGAAACAGATGAACGAGTAAGAGGGAAAAAACCTGACGAACACGAAACTTCCGAAACCGTCAAAAGGAGCCGAATGGCGATACGAACACACCGCTAAATGGCACCAAAAAACAGACTGGGAGCCGTAGCAGAGAGCAAACTGGGAATAAAGGTGAAGGGAACAGAGAAGGAGAAAAACGGCAGAGAACAGATAAAGCCCGGTAGGGCAACAAAGAGACAGGAATAAACATCCAAAGCCAGGGTGTATAAAAAAAACAAAACAACTGGTCTGGGAACCTGAAAAATAAGTATTAAACACAACAATACCAAATATAAATGTAAGAATAGTCAAAGTGAACATATAATTATATAAATATACATAAATATATCAAGATTATATAAAATATACAGTATATAATGCAATCATCACAGAGAGAAGAAATAGAGTACTTATCTGACTGTGGAACAGCAAAGAAAGAGGATTATGGGAAGTGGATACTGCCTGTTATAATGGGACTTGATCTGGGAGGGGCCTATGTTACTGAATATTCATTATTTTTTCATTCTGTTTGTATCCTTTGCTGCTATTGGTGGACAGTACAGAAAGGGATATGCAATATGAGCCTCCGTGTCTTTAATAAAATCCCTAATTTCCCTTATGCATTTTATGAAAACTCAAGCACTCAGGAAAAAACAGATTCAGGCACTGTGCAGCTATATAGAATCAAGTTAGATTACGTTATTTTTTGTTGACAGAGCCCCTTAAAATGTGATATTCACTTTGTATTCCTGACAAATCTCACATTAGTTAATAACCCTGAGTGTGTAAAAGGAACACTATAATGTAAGGAATACAAAACTGTATCAGACAGCCACTAGCGGTCCTTTCTATGCATCTTCACGCTCTGTATTAGGATGCCAAACGCGCCCCATAGAAATACATTGAGCGAATGCATGTATACGAAGAGATGCGGCTTGGCACAGTGTGGAGATTGCCATGCATGCAGTAGCCCCTCACAGTTTCCATATGGAGAAACATTGCATTGGCTGAGATCATCACAATGATCTTAGCTGGGGCGAAGCAGCAAAGAATACAAGAAAAGTATTTTTTTCCTCCCCAGGGTGAAGGAATCTAAACATGTTTGTATTTCTAACGTTAGAGTGTTCATTTGAGTTTTGCAAAGCTTTCATACATACACAATTAAAGAAATAATCTATGTACCTTATTATATATATAACAATTTGTAAACATGGTTTTGAAGTCTTGAATGCAGTTTTGAGCCTTTGAATAATATCTATACTCCAATCTCTTCCTTATTGTAGTCAAATCCATTGGATTTTTTATGATCATATAATAATCCTGTTGAAAAGATAATGAACATTAGGGGAGAATGAAAAAAGGCAAAATTCTATCCTTTGTGTCAATGCAATAAACAATAGATTTTTAAGCTACAAAAGAACTCTTATTATAGGTACGTAAAGGTTTATTTTTTTTCCAAACTGCTTTATTTTACATGGTAATTTTTTTAGTTACTGTAAATTTAGAAATGAAAACAGTAATTTTACTTACCCTAAACTATTTTTTCCTTAGTATAGTGGACGTACTACAACATATGGGTAGTCACCTCTCCCTGTGGACAAGCTCACCAAATTTAAATATTAAAAACTCCCTTTACAGCCTACTCACTTATAAGACTTTGCTCCTCCAAGTCTCACCAGTTATCCAAATAACCATACGGAGACCAAATACTGCAAAATATAATTTAATCTATACAATGGGGAGGAAACAAGGCAGTACTGCCACTATCCTAAGAATTTACAGTAAGTCAAATTACAGTTTTTCCTCACGTATAGTTGCAGTACTGCAACATGTGGTATATAGCAAGATCCCTTCCACAAATAAAGGGTGGGAAATTAAGTAGGCCACTGCTTGAAGCACTTTCTGCCCAAAAACAACTTGCGAGAAAGAAAAAAATGTCCAGCCTGTAATGCTTAATGAAGTTATGGAATGATGACCAGGTGGTCGCTTTACCTATGTCCTCTGGAGAAGCAGTGGATCTTTCTGCCATGAAATATCCATTGCTCTCGTGGAGTGAGCCTTTACAGAAAATCTGAGAGGAATCTTGCGGACTTCATAAGCTAGTTTATAGCTTCTAACAGCCACCTGGCAATCTTAGATCTGGAAGCTTCCTTACCTTTAACCCCTTAAGGACACATGACATGTGTGACATGTCATGATTCCCTTTTATTCCATATGTTTGGTGCTTAAGGGGTTATGTGAAAATGTGACAAAGAGGTGATCTGAGATTCTGAAATAGAGTGACCTCTGAGGATAGATTTCTAATGCTCTTTTCACATCTAGAAGATGCCACTTCTTTTCTGCATCAGATGATTGTACCAGGCAGAATGAAGGCAAAACAATATGAAAAAATTAAAGTCTGAGATGCAGGACCACTTTGTCTTGGTGAAAAATAGTAAATCTAGAAGTTGAAGAAAGGACCTGTAGTTCTCCTATTCTCCATGCAGACATGATTGTCAAAAAATTAAATAAAAGCGTTTTGAGTGAAAGAATTTTCAACAAAACATTTTGTAAAGGCTCAAACTAGGGTTCACACAAAGCTTGAAGGACCACTGGCAGATCCCAAGTTGCAAACGCTGAGAGTTTAGGAGGGTGTTTCAGCAAAACTGATTTTTTTAAAAATCTGCTGATTAGGATATAGGATCCTAAAACACAATCAAGGAAATTACTTAGCAATGAGATCTGGACTTTCAGAGTTGACACCCCCAAACCTGGTAAAAACCCATCCTGCAGAAATGATAGAATGTCCAGATTATTTGAAAGGCATCCTTTCTGAACACAGCAATGCAGAAATCTGTGCCATATCCTAAGGTAGATCTTAGTAGTGGATGAGTGGGTAGATGCCAGAATCACTTCACACAAATTCTCTGAGAGCCCCTGCTCAACCTTGCCGCAGGCATGCCATTAACTTGAACATTTTCAGGGCCTCTGTCAGAAGATCTATGTTCTCTTTGATGTTGTCCAATATTGGAAGCACCCAGTGTGACTTTGCCATCCACTCTATTTCGGAAAACCAACTCTTGTTTGGATAGGAAGGAACAATTACCAGAATCCTTGCTTTGACTGATCTGATTTTCTAAATGTTTCTTGAGATCAAAGTTACTGGAGGGAATACATTTGCAATGTTGAAGTTTCAGGTGAAAGACAGGCCGTCTAAGAAGTCTGGTTGATCCTCCTTCAGAATTGAAGCAAAGCATGAGACTTCAGTTTTTTTTGTAGCCATTAGATCTATATATAGGAGGCCAAACTGAAGTACCAATCTCAAAAACATCTGTGGATGCATTCTGATTGAGTTAATTTTGTCTGCTTAGATTGTCCGCTGTGATGTTCAGAGATCCTCTGATGTGTGTTGCTGAGAGAGAGTCTACTTCTACCTGTGCACACGACATGATCTGGTAGCACAGATCTTTTAGAGATTTTACTCTTGTGCCTCCCTGGCGGTTTAAGTAAGCAACTGTGGTGGCGTTGCCTGATTGGATCCTTACCGCTTGATTGGAAATAACAGGTTTGAAAGCTACCAAAGCATTCATTACTGCACCCATTTCTGTACAGTTTTTTTGAAAATTTCCACCAATTTAGTTGTTTCCTCACTGCTCTTCACAAGGAATTCTCTGAATCCAAGTCTTATTCTGTTCTTGACCAATATGTAAGTATGTTCAATTGTAGTGGTCTGATTTCTGCCTTTGTCCATCCTACCGCTGGAATGGCAGATGTGAGAAGACTCATAGCCTGTCTGATGGTGCAAACTTCTTTCTTTTGAAAACCTGAAGTCACCTTTTTATTATTTTTTGTTTTGATACAGGAAGAAAGAGAGATAGGGATCTGAAATCCACCAGAAGTCCCAGGAATTGAAGTAGTCATTTGCAATTTACTAAAGTTGATTATCCAACCGTGTTCTTTTAAAAACATCCTTGTTTCTTTGCGGTTGAAGATAAGATGATGTTTTGACTCTGCCTTCAAGAAACAACCGTTCAAGTAGGGAATTATTACCGTACCTTTTAGCCTTAGCTGCTGCTAAAGGTACCAGAATCTTTGTAAATATACGAGGTGCCGAAGATAGACCAAAGGGTAGGGCCTTGAACTGGAAATAAAGAATCTTCCTTTTTCATGATTTTATCACAAACCTGAGGAATTTTGTTGAAAGAACATGAATGTATGCATCCTTCATGTCTAACTTCGCCATATATTCTCCTTCCTGTAGGATGTGTGACCGACAATATATTTTCCATTCAGAACCTCAGAAAAGGAATGCATTCGTTGACCTTTTATGAGATTTACGATTGGACGAAAGGACTTGTGTAATTTTTTTAACCAAATAAAAAGGCGTGAATAAACACTTTGAAATGCTTGACTTCTGGGTACTTTCTCTATAGCACCTTTTTTTAAAAGCAGTGGAGATTCTGCTAGTAGAGCATCTGTTTTGTTTTGTGAGTGGTACGTTGAAGGCAAAAAAAAAAAACAAACAAACAAAAAACAGGTCTGGTATAGTTGAAAAACTTATTCTTTATCCTTCTGAGACGGTTTGTAATATTAATTTGTTTGATGTCATCTCTTTCCACTTTTGAACAAAGAACCGGAGACGACCTTGCACACTTTTAGCGTCAATATCTTCTCTTGTCGTCTTGTTTATTCTGATACCTGAACTTGCTGTCTCTTTTGTGGTCTCTAGAGCAGCAGGAAATGCTAGCATAATGCTTGGTTGGATAGGGAGAGATATTAGCAGTAGAAATAGGGAAGTGCTCATGCCATTATACAGAACACTGGTGATACAAAACACTGTATGCAGTACTGGAGACCATATCTCCAGAAGGATATTGATACTTTGGAGAGAGTTCAGAGAAGGGCTTCTAAACTGGTTTATGGAATGCAGGTTAAAACTTACCAGGAAAGGTTAAAGGATTTTAACATGTATAGCTTGGAGGAAAGACGAGACAGGGGGGATATGATAGAAACATTTAAATACATATTGGGAATCAACACAGTAAAGGAGGAGACAATATTTAAAAGGACTAAAACTATCACAACAAAAGGACAGTCTTAATTTAGAGGGGCAAAGGTTTAAAAATATCAGAAAGTATTACTTTAATGAGAGGGTAGTGGGTGCATAGAATAACCTTACAGCTGAAGTGGTAGAGGTTAACACAGTGAAGGAGTTTAAGCATGCGTGGGATAGGCATAAGGCTATCCTAGCTATAAGATAAGGCCAGGGACTAATGAAAGTATTTAGAAAATTAGGCAGACTAGGTAGGCTGAATGGTTATTATCTGCTGTCACATTCTATGTTTTCGGTCTGTGAAATTTCTCCTGGAAACGATAGGAGCTTTGTCCACTGAAACCTTTTGTTGAATTTGCCAGAACACTTAGAATCTTGTGGAAATGCTTTCTTGGTTTCAGACATCTGTTTTATTATGGCTTCCAGTGGAGTGCCAAACAACTTCTTCCTCTCAAAGGGAAGTTCGCATAATGCGGATTTTGAAGCTGAATCAGCAGTCCAGGTTCTGAGCCACAATGGTCTCCTAGCCACAAAGGATAATCCCATTATCCATGCTGATAATTATATCATTTCATCTGAGACATCCGCTAGTAATTCGCTGGATAGCCTTAGCAGATATAGTAGCTGTGCCGGATCTTTCGCAGACTTACCCATTTGCGACTTTTCTAAGGCTTGTAACCACATGCCTTGAGCTTTAAGAACTGATGTACCAGAGATTTTTGATTTACATGAATAACCCAAGGCCTGAAAAAAATTGTCTGCTCGATGTTTAAGCCAGTTTGTCCATGGGATCCTTTAAACCAGAAACCGCTCCTGTCAGGATTGTGGTTTTCTCAGACAATTGTGCCACTTGTATATCAACTTTAGGAAGGTCTTCCCCTTTCTCTTTACTTTGCAGTTAGAAATTCTATTTAAAACGTTTTAAAATGAAGGCATGTCTTCCGGAGCAGTTCCATAATCCTTCCATAGGAATCTTACCCTTGGTAGGTTGATCTTTCTGAATCACCGTAGACCCTTCTTTAATAAATTTTCCTTTGAAGGAAACCCTCATTCACACTTGAAGCCAGACTAGAATCTTCAGAGAAGGAAGAGGCCGAACATGAGCCTGACGAGAGCTCTCTCATGAACAAGCACCGCTGTCTTTTTTTACTGTATCCTTATAGGACTCAAATGTTTGAGATTAATTATTTCTTGAGCTGGTTCCAGGATAATTTATTTCCTTTTGCTTGCATTTCTCCAATAATTCCGCTGAGCACCGATTATAGGTTTTCTTTCTACATCAGTCTTTTTCAGCTTTATCCGGCAAGGCAAGATTGGAAATATTCTGTAAGAAACAAAATGAGAAAAAGGTTTTTTTTTCTATTTAGAATAAAATATTTAAAAAATTACATTTTCCACAACGTAGGAAGGCTGGTGACATGGAGTACCTGTTCTGGCTGACGACCGATGAGCCTCCCATAAACTTGGCCACATAAACCGGCTTCATATCGCATTCCGTAATGCTACGGAACATAAGTCTCACCACTTAGCTCTCCACCCGGGGAGCTTTCAGGCACCATCCTCCTCAGTCAGCAACCTGTGCTTACAGCACCTCCATTTTCATGGAATCTTTGGGGAGAACTCCTGGAGCAACTTGTCTGTCCTGTTGTCAGGACATGAAGAACTGGTGAGGCTTGGAGGAGCAGAGTAGGCCTAAGTGAGTAGGCAGGAAAGGGATTTAGATATTTAAATTTGGTGAGCTTCTTGTCCACAGGGAGAAGTGACTACCCACATGTTGCAATACTGCCACTATATGTGAGGAAAAAACACAATCGATCAAAAACTATAAACTCTCCCTCTGAAGAGTAGACATGGTCATTTCTAAATGCCACTATGCCCGACAGCGTATTTTTCTTTTACTGCCATTCCAGCATCCTAAAAATAACAGACCCCCCTCTCCCCCACATCTTTGATAATAATTCCCATATAAATTTCATGTGAAAACTGTGGTTTATCCTTCTAAGCATTTCAAGTATGAAACAAAAATATGCCAACATAATCCAAAATTGGATGGAATGTTACGAATAACCCTTTTTATATATATTGTTCAGGGTAGGGTAAATATGGTGGTCTGTGGGACAACAGGGCAAAAACCACATGGGTTACTAACAAATACAAAGGTAAAATGAAGCTGTTGGCAATTAAATGTAGACAATAGATAAACATGTTTATGCACTCACCACTATTTATGTTTAGAGTAGATTAATAATTTCCTGCTCAGGGTACAGTAGCCATTAAAAACATTCTTGCATTTTTTTATCACTTGAATGCATGCAGTTCCAGAATGGTTTGGCATTTTACCTAGGTGCTGCCAGATTCCTGCTGCTTCAGTCTTGCTTCCAGATTGTCCTTGTAGGAATATCTAGTTAGCTCATTTTAGCATGAGAGTATATATATTTTTTTTTATATGAACGTAGCTGCACTTTTTTTTCCCCAATTCTTTTTGTTCAGTTAAATAACAGTTAGACGTGTATTACCACAGCAGCAGATACACGCGTTTCAAAATCAGTACATAGTAAATACAAGGCATGGTAGAGGTACAATTCGCACTTATTTAGTAGTTTTTCTGGACAGATATGTTAGAACGCGAGAACCAATGAGCAAAACAATGGGGGCGTAGTACGCCCGTCTATAGGGAACAGTGCAAATATAACCAGAAGGCGAGTAGGGCATGCTATCTAGGCTAGAATGCCCTGCTATGGTAGTTGGGATCCAGGTCTATTTCCCATGGCTAGAGGTTTAGAGTGTGCAATATGGCACTCTATTTATGGGCTGCATTTGTTAGGTCCAGCTGCACTTGTTCTGTGGATTTTATTTTGCCCAAGACCCAGGATTGACCAGGCATTTTTTTTGGCCTTTAGCCTTGCAGTGGTCAAGTAGCATGACTGCTATAGGGAGGAGTGTAACAAGATAAGACAGCGTAACAACGTATCCACTCAAGCCCCACTCAGAGCGGAGACTGAACAGTACTGGAACAACAACATTGAATCCAACTCCATTTAGCTTTTCCCATCTCCTTCCACTTTTGTCTGATGTTTGAATTAGGAAGTCTCGAACCGTTGGGCAGATCAGTAGTTCCCAATACAAAAACTTACTTTAGTATGTCATCTTACACTTCACTCTAATTCGAGGAGCTGCCTTTTATCTCACCATAGGCTATCTTTAGTTTAGTTTAGTTTATATATTTTCTCACACTAACCCTACTTACTTGTCGTTGTGAGTTGCCCCTAACCTGACAAGACGTCTCATAGGCATTCCCACGGCAGTTATCGAACTAAATACAAAAAAAAAAAAAAACAACAACAGACTGCGGCTTGTCTAGCCGGTTTGATGAACATGTTAAAAGATGACCAAATAACGGCTTAGCGAAGCCATAGCCTTTTCCATATAGGTTGCAGCCATTTCTATTGATGACTGTACCATGATCTTTAATGGAAGAGATTTACATTTGGGCTTTGTAATCCATAACTATGGTGACACCTTTAATGCCACTTTGCCTTTAGAGTTTCCTCTGAAGTTGACTACAAAATAATCTGATCTTCTGAATGCAGCAGTTCTCACTAAAGAGATATTCAAAACACTTAACATTTAGTGAATGAAACACTATAGTGTTAGGAATACAAAAATGTACCCCTAATATAGGGGGTATATACAGTATCTCACAAAAGTGAGTACATCCCTCATATTTTTGTAAATATTTTATTATATCTTTTCATGTGACAACACTGAAGAAATGACACTGCTACTAAAGTAGTAAATGTACAGCCTGTATAACAGTGTAAATTTGCTGTCCCCTCAAAATAACTCAACACACAGTCATTAATGTCTAAACCGCTGGCAACAAACGTGAGTACACCCCTACATGGAACCCTATCACAACAAGAGGACATAGTCTTAAATTAGCGCAGCAAAGGTTTAAAAAGGAAGTATTACTTTACTGAGAGGGTAGTGGACAGATGGAATAACCTTACAGCTGAAGTGGTAGAGGAGTTTAAGTATGCGTGGGATAGGCATAAGGCTATCCTAGATATAAGATAAGGCCAGGGACTAATGAAAGTATTTAGAAACTCTACTAGATGGGCCGAATGGTTCTTTTCTGTCGTCACATTCTATGTTTCTATTTTTATGTTTTCCTTTTTGTAGAAATGTTTTGTTTTTTTCAACTAGAGAGAATAATTATTTTAATTATAAATAGCATTGTCTTTTTCTTTCATTATCTGTATTGTGTAGAGCAAGTTTGATAACTTTTTTGTTTTTGAACTAGCCATCACTTAGGTTTATTTACAGTGTAGTTTCTTCAGCATGAAATAATGATTTAAGGACTTAAGTCTTCTATCACGGCAAAGTAACTCCACCTTGCTGCCATGGTGATGCAAAACAACCCACTGGTTTCTACCTGCTGAGAAGAAACAATTCTATGAAATTTTCAGGTCTCAGACCGAATGCAGTTATTCCAGCTTGCTGTTGCCAGTGGTCAAACTCTTCTTTGGAATATTCCATTTGCTATGTTGTATGTCTCCTTCCCTCTATGCTTATTTCCAGGTATGAGATCTATTTTATGCCCGCATGGTGTAGTTTGACAAGACTGCATATTCTAGACCATGGACACTGGGTCTAGGTGTGTTTGAATACTTGCATCATGTTGTGGTGTTTGCACAGGCTAAAACAATGAAATGCAGTCAGTGCATTACAATGAAACCTGAGTCGCTCTTTTTGCATCACGATGAAAAATAGTGGTGTGACAAACTCCCCTTCCCACGTGAGTTTTCCATGAGCTCCTAGATGAGTCTGCTTGCCAGCCTTCGGCCCACAGACTATGGGCCCTGCAGGGAAACCTGTAAAAGACTACCGAACTTGACCGACCGTTAGCACTGATTTCATGGAACTGTTTTGGGTATAGGACTTCCATGAAAATTCCGAACCCATGAACCGATCTGGGTGATTTTTAAATAGGTTGGTCACCCAGATTGGGCCTATTGGGGGATGTAACTTTTGTGGGGGTTTTATGTATTTTAAAGGTACTTTTGGGGTGTTTGTGAAATGTGTGTTTTTTGTGCCTGGAGATAATTGAGTTTGTACAGTTGCTGAATATCTCCCAGGCGTAGGGGAGGGATTATCCTGTTTTCTGTGGGAGTGTCAGGGGCGTACTCAACTGTATTTGAAACTGTATAAAAGCAGGAGTAAACGTATTCCAGCTTGTACTCCCAGAACCATGTGTCATCTGGTTACTGGGAGGGGAAAGGGCTACTCTTTAATCATTGTTCCAGTGTAGAGGATTCAACTGGAAAGTCCTTGTAAGAACTAGAGCTCCCAGGACTGAGTGTCGTCCAGTGCCTGGGGGTGTCTTGAGTGAATTCCCCATTCAGCTCCAGGAGGGAGTGGTTCCAGGACCCCAGTCAAGCCACAGCGACTGTGGACAGAAGGGCTGCAGTTTGTCCCCTGTTCCAGCTATGAAGCAGTCCTTGGTGGAGGTAACCAGCCAGGGGTACAGGGAGCTCCGCTACAGGTGGTTTTCCCATGTCGCACAACAAATACATACATCAGGGCTCAAAGTTTCAAGTCCTAAAGTCCTATGCTACTAGACAGGCCTAAAGGTTAATTTCATTTGCCAATTACAAGTGAAAATTTTGATATAGATATTAAATATATATAGTTAAAATAAAAAATAAAAAAGGTGTCACAATATTGACTAATACTGTGTTACAGCAGGTTAGGTAATCCAAATCAGAAAACACACATGGTCATAAAGCTCATTAGACTAGGAGAAGCTGTGTTGGTTTTCTGCAATTGTTCTGGTGTATGAAGGTCCTACTGTGATGCAAAAATCGCTATTTAGCTAGTCTCCTGCTAACCACCACAAATCAGAGTCCACAATTAAGTGTGGGTTTGGTGCAGATATCCAACATGCGAGAAAGGAGAACCATATAATAAGTTGATAACATTTGGTGAACATAAAGCTTATTTTCTGCAGGGAAAACGTGTTTACTATTTCATCATGAACTTATGATAGCCATGATCTTACAGGAAGATTTAACTTTGCTGCATCCACTGGTTGTTGAAATGGCCAAGAAAATTTGTGCTTCCATACAGTCTTCAAAACCACTTTTTCCAGGTGTTTAAGTTGGTTAGATACACGTCCTGTTTTTTCATGATTTATGTACTCTGGTGGAGGGGGATTCACAATAGAGGAATGCTGAAGTCTGCTTGATGTTGACATGGTGAAACAGACCAGTGGAATTATCATATACTCCCAACTCTGCACAAAATAAATAAAAAGAAAATTAAACAATATTTATAAGGCATTTATAAAGTATCTTGCACAAAAGTCAGAGGAAATATAAATGAAATACCTAGGGTTATTTGCAAAACTTGGAAATAGGAATGCACCAAGTAATTCCTACTTTCAGTAGTTATGGGAACATTCCTAGAGTACCCTGGTGCCATTCTCATATTCAGTGTCAAATTGTTTTCAAACCATTTAAAAACAGATTGCAGATAGCTGGGTGCTTGCAGTCCGCCCTCTACTAGAGGTATGGCTAAGTCAGTGGTTACACTCCACCTATACCATACCGATTGTATTAGCAATGCGCTCATCACTTTCGCACTTTATGGCGTGGGCTAATGTGGAAGCACAAGCTGCAGCAGCACAAAGGGGTTACCGCAGATTGCGGGCTGTCAATTCATAAATTGTTTAACACCGAACGAAGGGAAGGTGCCAGAGTATAGCACGCAGTATAATCAGTGCAATGAGATGAAATAGTTATAGTGTCTAGAGTGTCCTTTTAAAATAGATGATTGGAGAAGATTTTTTATTTTATTTTGGCTCAATATTTGAAATTCCCTGGTAAATTTCCATTTTAGTAAATAACTAGAAATACAGACTAACCTTTGGGTGCAGAGGTATGACTTAAAGTCATAACTCAGAGTGAAGGTATCGAGCATCATTCATGTGCATTTTATGCAACACCAAAACAGCAAGAAGCAGTTGTGTGATACACACACCTATCACAGTTACTGCTAGACCACGAGCATCCAGATCTCTCTCCCAAGCCAAAAAGGAAAGCAAATGGATGAGGGAAATCTGTGGTGGTTGTGTGGGGTCAATATCCGGCAGTAATCCAAAAATTCTAAGGGTAGCATGACAATGTCAGAAACAAAAAGGTAATTTCGTATCAAACATATAGACTAGCAGGTCTACCGGATTTTTTCCATTTATAGTAATTTCACACATTCCCCAATCCATCCATTTCTCTCCAAAAGCATGCAGCTTTCCACATCTCTTTCTACCGGAGTCATTGCACATTCTTCCCACCACCCTAAAGTAACATGATCACATAAACTCCTCATGCTCTTTCAAAGCTTGTGAAGTATGACAGGAGTTGCAATTAATATTTGTTTTGGTGCTTTTTAATTTGCCTCCCTTTAGGGCAAGCTATGCCATACAAACTGAATGCCAGGGGGTTCACCAATTCAATCTCCAGTGGGTTACAATTACATGCATGATCATCCAGCAATCAAGATAGAGTATGAGTTGAGTTATAGTAAACTGTAGTTTTTCAGTGTCAGAGACCAATAACAAATCTAAATGGATTACAGCTAGCTGCATGCTCATCCAGTGCCAGACCATTCTGTACAACTGATTTTTATCTCCAATGCTTTAAGACCTCTATATTGATAAGCAGGATGAATAGCAAGCCACCACTGACGGACAGTCATCCTTCTGCTCCCTGTAACCAGGAGCTTTACTGGACATTTTATTGTAAAAACCAAAATATAAAGCTTGTTAAAGGACCACTATAGTGCCAAGAAAACACTTGTTTTCCTGGCACTATAGTGCCCTGAGGGTGCTCCCACCCTCAGGGCCACTCTCCCGCCGGGTTCTAGGGGGAGGAAGGGGTTAAACTTACCTCTTTCTCCAGCGCTGGGCGGGGAGCTCTCTGCCTCCTCTCCTGCTGAACGCGTGGCAGGAGCTGCGCGCGCAGCCAGCCCATAGGAAAGCATTTACAATGCTTTCCTAGGGACGATGGCGTCTTCTCACTGTGAAAATCACAGTGAGAAGCGCGGAAGCCCTCTAGCGGCTGTCAATGAGACAGCCACTAGAGGCTGGATTAACCCTATTATAAACATAGCAGTTTCTCTGAAACTGCTATGTTTATAGAAAAAAGGGTTAAACCTAGCTGGACCAGGCACCCAGACCACCTCATTAAGCTGAAGTGGTCTGGGTGCCTATAGTGGTCCTTTAAATATAGGTTAGACATCACAAAAAGCACCACCTTTTTCCCGCACCCCAAATAGACTATAACATACATTCAGCAAAATTCAATGAGAAACTACTGCAGGTTGCACATGTCTGTATAAGCAATAGCCCTTATACATATAGAAATATAAAATAGCTGTACCTATATCCCTCAATGCATGTTAACACAGCAGTCTGTTCTGTGCAGACAAAGGAATGGTGCACCATTGTCTCTGTATTTTGGAAAAATTCAGTAAACTACGCGTTCACCTAAGATTTCAAATTTATTATCTTTTGCTGTGTTAATAGCCTCCTGTGATTAAAAGTTAAATTTATAGAGATAAAAACTTTTAGAGGGACAGTATAGTCACCAAAACAACTTTTGCTTAATGAAGCAGTGTTGGTGTATATATATCATGCCCCTCCAGTTTCACTTGTTAGCCATTTAGGAATTAAATCACTTTGTTTATACACATCCTTCATAAACACTTCCTGTAAAAAGTTATCTAATGTTTATACTACTTTTACTGCAAATTATGTTTAATTTAGAATTTCTTATCTCCTGCTGTGTTAATAGCTTGCTAGACCCTGCAGCAGCTTCCTGTATGTGATTAACCCCTTCAGGACGGAGTCAATAGTACACGTTCTCATCAAAACAAAATGTAAACAAAAACTGGTATTTGCGCTATATGTCTGCTCAACCGTAATTCCCCTCTTTAATATTAAGTGCACCCACACTTATTATATATAATTTTGTTCAGGAGAAACTGGGCTTTAATTTCTCATGAACTATTCATATTTGAAACATAATTTATTGTGAATAACATTTAAAAAAACTGTAAATGTCATAATACCATTAGCTTTAACTGCAAAAAAACCAAAACACATATTTGGATTCAGCAAAGTCTCACAAATACAGCAGTACCCCCCATTAACAGTTTTTACGGTGTTTTGGAAAGTTAAAGGGTCAAATATAGCACATTCCATTTTTTCAGTTTTTTCAAATTGAAATTCGACAGGTTGGTTATGTTGCCTTTGAGACCGTTTAGTAGCCCAGGAATGAGATTTACCCCCATGATGACATACCATTTGCAAAAGTAGACAACCCAAGGTATTGCAAGTGGGGTATGTCCAGTATTTTATAGTAGCCACTTAGTCACAAACACTAACCAAAGTTAGCTTTCATATTTGTTTTTGTGTGAAAAAAGCAAAAAATAAATAAAAAACTAATATTTGGCCAGTGTTTCTGACCATTTTCAATACCTTGGGTTGTCTACTTTTTCAAATGGTATGCCATCATGGGGGTAATTCTCATTCCTGGGCGAACATACGGTCTCAAATGCAATGTAACCAATCTAGCAAATTTCAATGTTAAAAAAATGAAATGCAAGCCTTATATTTGACTCTCTAATTTTCCAAAACACCATAAATCCTGTACATAGGGGGTACTGTTATACTTGGGAGACATCACTGAACACAAACATAACGGTTTCAAAACAGTAAAACATATTACAACAATAATATCGTCAGTAAAAAAGTGCCGTTCGTGTGTGAAAAATGCAAAAAAACTTCACTTTTACTAAATATATCATAAGATTACATATGTATATATATTTTATTTACATTTTTTTAAAAATATTTTATTTTATTTATTTACTATTGTAATATGTGTATATATATATATATATATATATATATATATATATATATATATATAAACATAATATACACACACACACACAATATATATACACACACACACACATCATTCTAAGTGTATTTTAAGATTAATACATGTACTTATATTAACATTAAAATACATTACTTATCACGTTACATATATATACCATTGTACAGCGCTACGGAATTTGTTGGCGCTATATAAATAATAAAATAATAATAATAATAATAATATATAAATACATTTAATTTATTTTAACATGTTTATTTTTTACTTCTTCCCACCAGCAGGGGGACTGTGACATTTCAGACAGTCCCCCTGCTGGCAGATCCACAGCCAGCTATAGGGGGCCATGTGATCACTCTTTAAGAGCGATCACATGGCCGCCGAGGGCCTCATTTGCCGGGGGAGGGCTGCCTGGGCTGTCAGGCAGCCCTCCAGAAGAGGATCGCAGCGGAGGTAAGTAGTTGCAGGCTCCTGGGGCTGAAAGCCGTTATAGCGTTCTCTGCCGCCACAAAGGCTTTAAAGTTCAATTTACAGAGCAGGAGATAAAAACTTTCAAAGTGAGTTAACATCAGAATGAAAACAAACCCATTCTTTTCTTGTGGCTATGGTTGCATAGACAGAAACGAAGGTGATATAACTCCTAGACGGCAGAAATTGAGCAGAGAAACTTCAGAGGAATGACCTATAAACAAAAACTGCTTCACGAAAGGGACACTACAGGCACCCAGATCACTTCAGCTCATTGAAGAGTCTGGGTACAGTGTCCCTATTGCACTTAGTGCTGCAATGTAAAACATTACAGTTCCAAAGAAACTGCAATGTTTACATTGCCGCACGAAGTCAGTCTTCAGTGGCTGTTTACCAGACAGCCACTAGAGACGCTTCCAGGATGTGTGAGGACATCCAGCTTCAGCTATTTTCTCATAAAAGAACACAGATTCAGTGCTTTCCTATGGGGAGACATAATGAGTGTGTAGCACTCGTCGCGCATGCACACTAGCGCCTGCTTGCCGAGGGACGTCATAGGAGGCAGAGCCGTGACCCAGCGCTGGGATCAGGTAATAAAAGAAGGGGGATGCAGAGGGAGCTATAGTGCCAGGAATATAGCGTTGTATTCCTGGCATTATTGAATGCTATGCCTTTAAACTGAAGTTGTTTTGGTGACTATAGTGTCCCTTTAAGTTATACACTGTGCTCTTGGGAGCTGATTGAGAAAGAAACAAATGGTTCAGGTTTGCTGTATGAGCCACAGGCAGGGCTACATAAATAGAAACAAACGTGATTTAACTCCTAA